GACGCTCTGCTGTACAGTACCGATGGTGTTAAATTTTAATTCAATGATATAACATCCTTATTGTACCTATACGAAAAACGATTCTGAGCGGAGAAGGTTTACGAGTGTTATATTAATTATATTGTTATTATTAATACGGTAGCCGGTAAGTTGATTTAATATTATTTGTATATTATAATATTTGTACATAATTATAATATACTTTTGAAGTTTCAATACCCACCAATAATATTTTTAAATTACAACACAAAACTGAAGTCGTTATTCTTCGTTTAAATATATCTAAATATCTAATTTCGTCCAAATTTTAACTTAAAATAACTGCAAAAAAAATACTGTGTTTATATATTTTTTTAAAATTTTTGGTTACAATATGAACTACTTACGTGGAACCTTGTTTTAAATTTTCAATTGTTAGCTTTAAAATTTAAAATTTAATACATTTTTAACCGCAAAATAATTTGTAATTTTTTCATTTGATAAATGTTGTCAACATTTGAACTTTAAATGTTTATAGTAAAAAATCATCTTACCTATGAGTTTTTAATATTTTTAAAGTGAAAATAAGTGAAGAGTCTTGTATTAAATTGTATAGCTTTTTGATCCAAACAAATAAAACTATATTGAAATTTATAGAAAAAAAACTAAGAAAATTGAAAATGTCCGTATAACAGCTCAGAACGAGTTTCGGCAAAAAATTTTGATAATTTTATCAAGTATAGAAAATGATATAATAAACATAATATAATGTAAATTAGTTACATCAAAAACCAAAATAGATTTCGGTAAAAACCGATTTTGCATAAAAATTCTCGTTTTCCCATAATTTTTTTTTGTTTTTCTCGGCGCTTCTGAAAACTACTGGGAATTTTCATCTTTATTCTAAATCGAAGCATTATTTCGACTACTTGTCGTAAACACGAAATAATAAAACACACATCATTCACTAGATGTAAAATCAATACATTCATCACTCCACTCTGTGGAGTACAAAATTTTCCCAACTTAAGTACCTACTGTTTTGTTCCAATTATTCTAATTATTAAAATATATCCTGTAGCAGCATATTTTCTTTTCTATGGATGTGGAGTTCTTCTTCAGTTAACCCCAGACACCAGTTATTTCTCATGCCTGCGGTGCCTATATAAAAAAAAATATTTCGAAGTATAAGCATAACAGATCGTAATAATAATATTATAAAATATTTCGAAGTATAAGCATAACAGATCGTAATAATAATATTATAAAATATTTTAAGCATAACAAATTTTAAATACATAACGTTATCATAGAAGTCAAATTCAAAAAAGGTGGACAAGTGGGTACCGCTCTGCTGTACAGTAGTTGTAATGGATGTGTTAGGTATATTTGAATACAATGATAAGCCATTGTATACGAAAAACGATTCTGAGCGGTTAGCGTAGTCCTTATAGTATTATTATTTTTTATTCGTTGCTATGGTGATAAAAAAATCGTTAGAAATTAAAATCCAATTTTTAGCGGTTTTTCGTAATTTGTCGTAATTTTTCTCGACGCTTTCTAAAACTACTTGGAATTTTCATTTTTGATCTCCTAAAAGTACCAACTAGGTTCACTTTTCTATCAGAAAAGGTGAGGTGCTGACCTCAAAATCGAACCATGCTTAGTATTCGAAATATTGCTGACAGACAGAAAAAACAAAACACACGTCATTGTAAAATCAATACATTCTTTCTCTCTAATATTCTAATAGAATATTCTAGAATCTAATATTTGCTTTGTCACATAATTCTATTCAGAACATACAGTTGAATTTATTAATACCCAATTTTTAAGTGAAATCATTTAACTATCTATTAAATTCTAAATCAATGTACGAATAATAATATACAGAGTGTCCCTTGAGGATATACGCTTTAGCAGTAGAGGGAGACTAGCTGCCAGTACAAAAACCCGGGTTTTTGTTATTTTACTTGTAAACTAAAATATGATTAAAAATGTATATTCACAATTTCTACCTAAAATAAATATGAAACTTACTAGGCGGTAGATAAGGGTGATTACTTATGTGTAATGTTTATAATACTATGCGTGTATGTAAGGGTCTAGCAAAAAAAAATGCATAAGTTTAAAATAATGAACAACAAAATTGAGTAAATATTTGTTCTCAAAAATACTGAGATTATTAGGTTAAAAATAACGATGAGGTGAAAGTCGTTATCTATAATACAAATTATTGCTAATTATTACTATATAATATAATTAATAACTATTATGTAATATCATAATAATTATTCAATTAATCTAGACAATTAAAAAACTTATAATTATTAAAATTTTTCTTTATTCGAATTTGATAGTTAATTTTGACTTTCGAATAAAAATAAAAATATTCAATCTGTAGTGGATCTTCAATCTAGGACAAACGTAGCAGATACTCGATATTTTCACTTCGAATAAAATGTATGAATTATAAATTTGTTTCTGACCAAACAATAAAAAAATAATAATAATAGTATTAACTATTATTATTATTATTATTATTATTAAAATTATTACAAATAGTCAAAAAAATAAAGTCAAATAAACATGATTTATTATTGTATTCAAATATTATTTATTTTAATTGCATTACAACCGTAGTGGTACTTTACAGCGGTCAGTGATGGGTACCTATCGATTCCGCCAATGTAGCATCGATTCCGCCAGTATCGACTCCGCCAGTTCAGGTAGTCTAAAAACAACCTATCGATTCCTCCACCTACCAATTTTTACCTCAACCTGGCAACTGTCGCTGTCAACCTGTTTCTGTAATAGAACATCTGTACTGTACCCAACCCAAAAACATATTATCGCATATATATGTTAAAAACAGACGGATTGGGTAAAATGTATTATTGTTTTTTTTCAAAATCATAATTTCGTGGTTTGGCGGTTACTACGGTTAGGTATCATAATGTTCCACTTATTTTACTGCCTCCTGTCTACTAACCTACCTTGACTCGATAATCGAGATAGTCGATCTCTATTTCCGGAAATTATAGTAACGTTTACGCGTTTTCTCTAAGGCTTACTTATCGTGGGGTCGATTGTATTTGATTTAAGGTCCCCACACACTGCAGGGGTGGCGGTGGAGGTGAATTGCTTCAGGACACATTTCACTGTTCACCACGGCGGTTAAGCCAAGACAATAGAATTTAACGCCACCGCCACCGCTGCAGTGTGTGGGGGCCTTAAAACGTATCAGCAACGTTGCATCAATTTTAAGTGTATATAATAAATAATAATTTAAATTTAATAATCTATACCAATTTATGATAATCACTATGGACTTGCTCTCAAAAAACGTGCAACTGTGAAAAACTTTTTCGTTGTTAAGAAAAATAAATATCGAGTTTGTGCATTTGATATTATACCTAATATAATGTACGAGTAATAAAGCGGGACACATATTTTGAAGGAAAAAAATTTGCAGGGTCAGCGTATTATTATGATATGAACACGACAACACGTATTCATTATCGGTGTATAATAAGTAGTATAATAAAAGCACAATTGAGGGATGACGTGGTGTCAGAAAGCCTCTATTTTACCATTGAAATTATTATATAGCTGTGTGAGAACAATTCAAACTATTGGATATTAGTATATTACTAATAAACATAATTTAATATTAACCTGCAGAATATAATATATTCAGTAGGTAAACAAGGTATAATATATGTATAGTTACCACGTTCCTTAAAGGTTTAACGGTGTTTTTGAGGTGTATCTCTTCACCCCCACACAATTTTTTTTTTAAATCACGTCACTGAATGTGATTTTTGGATATTATACTACCTTACTTTGTAAATGCTGCTCGCGGAGATGTGGTGACGTTAAGTCGGTTCGGTTAGGTTGTGTCGGTCTGTGAATTTTTGGCCATCGTCTGAGGGTGCGTTCTTGTCAAAACAACACTGTTTGTATTTATCTTAATATAATACGATGCGTCATCGCTCGTCGTAATGCGTGTGATTTAAGCTGTAGCCATAGCCCGATGGACTTTACCGTCGTCGCGCGGGGGGTTAGCTGTGACATAGTAATAATTACAACAGTAACGCACACTTATGTTGTTATTACTTATTATTGTAATATATTTTATCCATTCATAAAATACCCCATATATAAGTACTATACCAATATTGTGAACACGCATTGTACCTAAACCCTGAGTCTAAATCACTATGATATCTTGCGTTACCGTTTTTGAACCATATACCTATATAAATTGTATATATATAATATAATAATATACCGCGATCCCGTTTGTACCCGTCGACTACAATAATATAATAACAAATATTATTCCTACTCCACTGGAAGTGTGAATCATAAACCTATATATAAACTAGTTTATAGGTATTTATATGTGGCGGGAACACAGATTTGCAGTACCTATAAAAAGGCTCTCGCCCACAATTATTCTCACTATTCCGTTTCGCAAGTGCGAAGTCGCATACGTTCGCGACAATAATATAATATTATTATTATTATTATTTATTACAATTATTTACAGTTATTATTATAATCGATATTATACGCCCGCTCCGATCTAATAATTATCTTATTATTAAAATCATTAATATTCGTACGACAATACGCTTTCTCTATCTATACCTAATAATATTATACCTGCGGAGTACGATTTGCCCGACGACCAGCTCACTCCGACAATACTCGACAAAAAAGTAACGTCAATCATATATTGTTATTATTATTTATTATATTCACAAAACATACTCGTCCGAGTAATACTGACGTGTACATTATATTATCATACGAGTCGATCAAACGTTTTGGAAACTGTTTTATCCGCGACTTTCTATTATAGGTTTGGATTCGTGATTCGTCTGATAGTTTTCAGACTTTTCCAACGCCCCGTGCGAATAGGGTGTGAAGTCATGCCTAATGCGCGATATTATATGATTTAACATTATTAATATTATGACGTGTACTGTTATGTGTTTCAGGTGTGATTTGCGATGAACTCAGCTGTGGTATTGGTGATAGTCATGTTGCTGGCCAGCCACGTCAGCAGCTCACCGATCATAAACTTTTCGTGGGACACGCCGAGGCATTTTTGTGGATCACAACTCGCCAACGTGTTGGCGTTGATCTGCAGCAATGGATACAACTTCCATCCGGCAAGTGATGGTAAGTCCTAGTTCACTACAGTATAATATTATATCAGCTTTCACAATTTTAGGTTGTGCGCCAATTAATAAATTATTATCATCCGACTGGATCAGAGATCAAACTTACCCAAACAGCTGTATTTCTTTTTTTTTCTGTTGTCAAATCTTTCAATCATGTATAATAATTATCGAGGCTAAGATTTATACTCGTTGGTATGGTTTTTTCAGTGTCTTTTAAAAAATAGGTAAGTGTGGTTAAAAGGAATCACCTCATATTGATATATTTTTTATTTTAATTTTACATCTAAATTTAATAACACAAAAAATTCACTTCACATCATAATTGCGTTGGTAATTTAAATTCCATAAAACCAGTAACTTTGTCTTTGACACTGTTTTTTTCACTAAGAAAAATTAAATCATCTAAAGACCTTTATTTAGGGCTAAAAACTATTTGGAAAGAATTATCTCAAGCGAAATCGTTTGATTGGCCCTATAGTGACCATACAACAACGTATTATATTTTTTTTTTTTTTTGCAATAAACTATAGACAATGACATATTTTATTCACTATTTATTGTTGAATCATATATTATATGATTTTTTTTAAATTTAGAATACACCTTATTTAGTTTAGTATGGGCGAAAGTAGAAAATATATTTTATTGGTTAGGAACTTAGAAATTGTAAACGCCTGTAAGAAAAAAACTTGAGTTCCAAGTATCCAAATTGTAACGTCATTCTTGTTAAAATGATAAAATCTAATGCTGAATCACAGTGGTATACGCTATATGGCAATAATAATCAATTAAAAAAATCGTTAACAGCTATGATTCATTAACTCCAATTATTATCACTTATCATCGTATATATTCGCAAATATTATACCCGCCTCTGAAATACGACCTACCGCAGTAATTATTTATCTGGAATTGAACTTAAAAACATAGAATAGAAGAGTATACCTGTTTTTCTTGGAGCTATCAAAATTATTTTGAACATAATAATATACCCATAGGTACTACAAAGTCATTGAAATAATGCCTAAACAAATTGAATTTCACGGTTATTACTTATTGTATAATATTCAGTGGTTAAAGTGGGAAAAATTTTGAAGGGGGCCTATAGGTAGTCTAGTCACCAACATTTTAGGAGTGTTCCCGAGTTCTTATCAAAATCTATATCTAACCAAACTATATAAGAAACCCACGAGGTCAAACTTTGACCATCAAAGACTACATTTTTTTTTTCACACACCTGTTATTTATTCATAAAAAGTTTATATTAGGTATTAAGATATAAAAACAAATATCCTCCTAAGAAAAATGATCCAACCTACACATACTATCCCTGCTCGGTAAAAACAAACTGCGATGCATAGCCTGAAATGTTAGACTTAAATTAAAGAGGATGTATAACCTTGCCTTAAATAAGGAGGGGGGACTCTGTCCCCCCACTTTATCACTGATGATATTTATATATAATCTAAAATATATAATTGTAAATCGATGATAATTGCACACAATAAAATAATAATATATTCTGTAGTAAACTGTATAATTTTGTGGTCGAAGTTGTCGACGGTCAATATTATTCCACTACATAATTATTTGGTTTACAATTATTTTCGTCCCTTCAGTTATTTTTCACAATTTAACGCTTCCAGTTCTCTGAAAAAAAAATGCTATTTTAAGTTATAACAATAGATTATATTATAATATAATCAAAATTTACCTACCTAAAGTCGTAGTAAACAAAAGTATACGTTATAAATTAAAGACGCTTTAATATCCCTTTAACGAACTGTCTATATGACTGGGTATGTAAATACATATCACTTATTTCGAGCTACTCCGACCACTATGCTTATTCCACTCATCGAAAAGTAATCTAGGGATGCACATCGGTATGCCAAAACGTTCCCGAGTATATTTTAATCACAAATCAAAGCTAAAAAATAAAGTATCATCGCTAATTATACAAATAAAAAACGATTTGATAATTCGGTCGTACAAAAGTCGATTTAATACCGTCTGGAGATTCGTGTGAATTCAAAGGAAATCGTCGCCCGGCGCTGAAGATTATATAGGGCAACAGCTAGCTATATATTGTTTTACTTACCGATTAAATCATAATCACAATCGTGATGATTAGACTCTTATTATGATTTATAATCTATGCGCCTCTAATTTGCTCGTGGATGTACGTTACGTCCTATATTAAAAATCGAGCATTATATATTGTTATTCGTAAATTAATTATTGTATTGTTGATCGCGTTATGAAATTGTTATAACTTTAAACTTATAATATTATGTTATACAATGACATTTTCCCGACCTTTTCGTGACGTGTACGTTTTTTTTTTCAGATGTTACCGTCCCAAGCCGCCGTCGAAAAAGAGTAATAGTTGAAGAGTGCTGCGAGAACACTTGCACTCCACATCACCTGAAAGCCTACTGCTGGGAAAATCGAAGGTAGCTACCTATAATAATAATATACATCTGACAAATCCATTTAACGCTGCATTAATTGTTCACCGTTTCGAAATACGAATCAATAAATCGATATTATATATGTATACACGGCCTGTTGCGATATTGTCATAAGATATCACGCTTGTCGACTGTATTTTTCAGTGTCTTGTTTCCACTCGCGTGCGGATGGATCGCTATGATATTGTATACTATATATTGTTATGTGCCTATTGGCTATTGTATATTATAATATCTAACCAAAAACTCATATATTAATATCGTCATCACAAATCATAATAATTTATACTGTGACTAACATTACCTACCTATTAACAACGCCTGCGGCTATAATAATATACCTACCACCCGAGTATTGAAGTTTGCTTGTTCACGTATAACACTGTAAGTCTGCATCGGTCGTTCCAATTAAAATTACCTATACACGTTCGTCCACTGCTGAAATATTCGATTACTGTTTATGAAAATCAGTGGGGCCTCAGTGCTTGTGGCTGATAATCTTATTATACAGAGGAGGCGCTTGACCATAGATCCCTCACATGACTTTGCCAACGCACTGCAAAGTATATACAGAGTATCCCCCGAGGATTTAACCATTGCGATATCTCCTGAGATAATAAATATATTATAAATCGGTTTTTGTTATTAGACTCATAGAGACAAGGACTACACATATTTTATCTTTTAATTTAATTACATTTTTTGGTAAAAAAGTTAAAAAAAAGTTATTTTTTTACGTTTTGAAACAATTTAAGCTAGACATTTTATAGTTTATATTTGTGAAAACTTTGACTTTTCAACATAATATTTTAATTATTTTCATGATTTTTAATAGTATTTTTAGTTTATAGGTAAAACGGCAAAAAAACGATTTTTGTCCTGGCAGCGAGTCCTCCTTTAAGGTCTTAAGGATAATGGGGATATACTCACGGTACACCCTGTATATATATATAACCTTTGACACTTTTGCAGCAACCGTCATAAAAATTACATCTTTAATGCATGCGGTAAATTCTGTACGTATAATAAATTTACTGAACATCGAAAGCATTTTTAAAATATAGATACGCCACTGATTGCAATATCGATTATACCACCACTGTATCATTTTATCACACCAATCGATAAAAACGACATAGTATCTAAGGGGTGATGTCTTGATGCTTGAATTGGTAAAATAAACATATAAGGCATTAAACACTTATGTAGTATTGTAGTATCCTATTATAGGTACTATGCTATTATTATATTTTATTATACAGAACAAATCAAAATATATAGTTAATACAATATTAATAAAACCCTTCATCTACCCAATTTTTTTATTTGGTTGATAACAAAATAATAATGATATGCTATTTGCATGGAACTAATAGCAAGAGCCATTCGTGTACATCACCCTATGGAAATTGTGGAAAAAAAAATAGAAAAATAGCAAAATATGAATTAACGAATATTATCACTTAAGCGCATGGTTAACATACTATAAGTCTATAACTGCTTAGAAATAAATAATTTATATATAGTTTAAAATTATAAATACAAAGTATAAAGATATAACAAAAAAAAACCCAGATTTTGTAGGTACGCATATTATACAGAATACACCCAAGACCCAACTGAGCGAATTCAATCGTGTAAATTATTTAATAAAAATATGAAAAACAAAACAAATGTTTGGAAGGTATAACGGGAAAATCATGCGATCCGATCGTCGAGTGTAGTCACTAATCTTACACGGAAAGCGTTGAATGATACAATCAATTTGGAACCGACCGCAGTTCGCTTGTACAATTTGAAAAATCGGAACCAAATTTTTACGAAACGGACCTCTGATGATAAATTGCAGATTACATCAGTTTAGCACCCCTCACACGTTTTCATCTCTATATAATGGCTCCGACGGAAGAACCGAGCGAGAAATTTGATTTAGCTGAGTGTACACTAAAGTCAACCGAACACGAAGGGAAAACGATTCGTAAATATTTTCAATATTTTTATTGGCCACGTCGAGACAGGTGGTTTTTGCAACTCAGCTGTACACAATAATATAATACTATTATACGCTTCCTCGTTACAGTATAATATAATACGTATTAATAGGAATCAACGGGCATCGCTTTCGCAACGTTTAGATCTTATTACAAATCGTACTATATAAGGTACCTATTATAATATTATTATCTTTTCATTCGATTTCCTGGATTGTTATTACCGTAAATATGATATTGTTACGCGGATACAAAATATAATAGAACACATCGGGGCTTATAATATTATTATTACCTACGTGTGATATTATAATCGTCATTAAACGCGCGCCTATATGCACCGATTGTGTACATAATTACAGTTTTTATATATATATTATTAAGTATAAAACAATATAAAACGTTCGGAATGAAATCGGATACCCTCTGCTGCAGTCGAGAATTACAATTTTTTTTATTCTTCTAAATAAGCAGTAAAAAAACGACACACGCGTAATCGATCCATATTTTCAACCGACGGCGTTGATAAAATTAACTACTTATTATTATTATGTGATAGCTGAATAAACGACATCGGTCGAACGCGAAGAATAAAAAATTGTTATTACCTATTAATAATAATTATATCACGTCCCTCGGTGGAAATGCAAACGAAAAATCTTTTTCACAAAAAAATGTGCAGTGTTAGAATACGTATTTTAGTGGAATAAAAAAGTTGAACAATTATATAGTGTTGCGTGCTGAATAATAAAATAGTACTAATACCACTTGTTTAGGTATAATATATTATATACTAATAACAGTAATGGTAATAATATTATATACTAACTATGTACCTATTGGTAAGAGTATGCCAGTACCCGGTAGTGGACTAGTGGTTACATATTAATTAATCAATTAGGTATTTATTTACTCGGGCTAAAAAGTAAAAACGCAATAACAGTATAATATTTAGTAAGTTTTATGGAATACACCCTATAATCGCTTCAACTATATAAGGTATCTATAATCTATGTATATATATATATATATTATATTATAATATAAGCATCAGACGCCACGTATAAGGGATTCTGATTGGCTGTTTAATATATTATTATTATTATTATTATTATTATCATATTTTGATCGTCGACATATACATTGTAAAATAATGTACATAATACAATCATATTCACATATAATATACACTGCACATACATACAACTCCACATTAACTCTCATGATATACTATTGACCATAGTATCACATATTATTTACATACTTAATATTACGCCACGTCAGATCATAGTGCCTAAGTCTTGTGGTTTTTTATTTTTGTCATTTCATTATATTACCTAAGTACAGTATATTATTATTATCTGTCTGCTTCGGTTTTCCACTCATTCTCATTTCTCATCAACAACCACATAATAATTATCATATATCTATGTTTTGTTATTCTTATTCTCACGATGGACCTGTATAAGCATAATACAATACAATATTATTATATCATATTATACTCTCTCTGCGGACGAGTGGAAATATTGACACAAAAGCAAAAGAACAATAATCGTAATACATGATAATATACGCAGTATTACAGTCCGACTTTATACGTTTTTAGATTTTGAATTACTTCGTATTTCGTACAACTATACATTTAGTGACGTCATTTCTAAAGCACATATACCTATAACCTATATATCTTATTACGATGATTTACAGGTCTGATACTCGGAGTGTTTTGGAACCGTCCGCGTCTGTAGAGAAACCCTCGGTAGACAAAAACGTGAAACCCCAGAAAGACCCCACGAGTAACACACTAGTAGTAGACAACAGTCTGATGCAGGCTGAGCAAGCGACTGTCAAAACGAAATCCAATAGTATTATTATACCCAATTCTAAAGAGCTCGGTAGGCAAAACAACATTAAGACCATAAAATACAACACGGTCTCGTACGTCCCAAAGAAAGAAGTAAGCCAAACGACAATAGTAAATAGTAGTAATAATAATAACAACAATAACATAATTCAACCACACTGTATGATAATATGTATAAATGTAGGTACATACCTAAAACTAATAATATGTGTGACCAATCAGAATCGCTATAAGTGGCGGCGCTCGGTGCTCTATATACCTACTATATTGTTATAGATACATAAGCGTGATGTTTGTTGTATTTTTGTTTTGCATGTAAACATAATAAAAAAATTATATATCATTGGAGTACGGCGCTCTACACATTATATTATATAAAATATACAAACCGTGATGTACTGCAGGGTGTGTCAGAAAGAATTGAAGATTTTATTACAGTGGAATATTGATGCATTTTCAAACACGCCAGATTTATCTAGCCATAGACGCCATAAACGCAACTAGACCTCTATAACCCCATGTGGAGTTCTATAATATTTCATATTTTAAAAACATAAAATTTATGGTACTTCACTACCTATGATAGTTAATGATCGTTAGACTTGGGATAGACTGCTTAAGACCTTTTTGCACCCCCTAGTTGTGGCAATGCGTGTACCTGTATAATATTATGCGCATGGTTTCCCTGGTGATGGACACAAATAGGGCTTAGCCCTCTGCAAACCATTTCAAGCCCTAATGTCAGGTTGCATAAAAAATGTATTAATTTAATGGACCAACGTAGTCGATTAAATCATAATATTGTTAAGTGTTATCGCATTACCCACAGGCTATGGGCGTAAATATACGCTTTGTTAGTTCTTAAGCTACAGAAAAATACTCCTATAGAGTATACAGTATAAAATTCCAAACTATTTAAAAAAAAAAAATTAAATTAGATAAATATCCATGGAGTCAACTAATATTTTCCGAATCACGAATTTCAGGGATGCCCAAATTTTCATGGGAGGAGGCTAAGGGGGCTATAGCCCTCCAAAATTCCATTAAGTCCCTTCAGAATTCTGTTTAGCCCTTTCTGTTAAAAAGTACTGGAATGAAAAAAAGGCTAAAGCCCCCCAAAAAAATCTTCACGCTACTTTAATTTGAGAACCACTGTAGGTAAAGCAAGTATTGATTTTTTTGAAATTGTTTTTTTACAAAATTATTTTTAATCACTGTAAGAATCATGACAGTGCATGAAAATGAGACTTACCGAAAAAAAACCCAGTACAGATAGGTAGCAATGTAATAAATAACTTAGCACTGAAAGAGTTAAGGGACCATTAGATCACTTTGTTGGTACCTAATTAAATGTTTCGACTGTTTATGCAATACGGCCAAAAGTGCATTGACCTTTAATCACCATCTTCGATGTACCTATCTATATATTATATAATACTATATAGTATATTTTATAATCTATTTACCAACCGATCGTAGGTATACCCTATAATTTCAGTGACGCCGATAAAATCCACATGTGTAACAGGTGGATGACGTTGAGGGTGAATTAGGCGCATCGCTCTCATTCCGCTATTCTAGATAATACCCAATAGCAGCTATGTCATATACTGGAGACTTTTGCATCGATGATTTTCCAAACCCTATAAAAATGTATTTACGTCTAATGTCTATAAGACTTGACGGTGGGTATACATCGTATAAAACGTCGGATCATCAAGTGTCATGACGCACCCTGCACATTATACTTAGATATTATGTGCATGCACAGTGCAGATACATCACTAAATCGTACACGCGACAATATGTAGAACACTAATTATATTATAATATGGACCTACGGAAAGTGTCTGGATGTTACAAATTAGAATTATATATATATTATTATTCGTCCATTATATACCTAAATACCTAGGTATATGCCTACTCGTTATTCACGGCGTCATCTTTTCATTCTAATAATAATATAATATTTTTTGTCGTTTTTCCAGGCGGTGATCGTCCAGGACCCGGTGCCAGGACGAGTGAAAACTGTAACACCATACTTTGACAAAATGCCATCGGTCATCGTTACTAAAACCACGCAACACTGAAACTCGGGAATAACATCGCGCCTGCTCTCGTCTTCCACATTTGACTTCCATCGTCAAAACTCATCGAAATCTCTAACACTGTTTGGTTCTTTGATCATATATATAATATGTACTTATATATATATACTTTCATTATACGTACACAATATGTCGTGTATAACGTTTCATCATGTACAGTTTTATTTTTTTCTTTGTAACAATGCGCCGCGCTGCAAAACCGAAGAATTAAAAACAAAATATTGACTAAAGTCCTACTGTGTTAATTTTAATTTATTTTTATAAGTATAATAAGTCGTTAGTTCCTGTGTTAAGTTTGCACGATTTTAGTTCACGATAAACGATTGTCGGTGAATTATATAATATAAATAACGATTTTTAAAAAATTATTATAAAAACGAGTCTGTGATTTTACGGCAATTTATATAATCGCTCCATTATATGGAACATGAAATATAATATATTTTTAAAAAAAAGAATACAAATAATATTATTTGTGTATTTTTATTTTTTGTATACGTACTGACTACTGATAATAATATTATTAACCATAATTTAATAAAACAAGGTATGTTATTAAATGTTATTGATCATATTGTTTATTTTTTCCCACATATACGATTTAAATCTTTGACTGAGCATTTCTTGACGCAGCACTCTCTGAAGTCGTTCATTAATTCCCGTTTTATAATCGTGGCCTTTCCGGAGTCACCGCCTGAAAATAAAAATGAAAATATTTTGCAAAACATTTATTATAATTTACAGTTAATCTCCGAGTGTCGGAACCATACGTATTCTCGGGTGTCTCGATCTGTCGTCTCTGAAACCCGGCAAATTAATTGGACGCAGCCACAGTGGAGTGACGTTTGGTTCTAAAAAATAAATATATATATGACAATTAATACACATTACACACTATAGTATATTGACTAGGTATTCAAACGAATAATACTATGTACCTATCGCTGCAGCTATGACGTTTGTATGAAATGCAATTATTTTAATATAATATAATATAGTATAGTAGGACTGTAAGAGGTATAATAGTACTATTATTCAGTACCTACATATACAAAATGTATTGGACGGTAGGTACGTACCTACACCTAAAATATATATCAGCAGCGGATCCTGATACGTATTTAACTTATTTCGGAAACCATTGGGATCAAATTATAATAGTCATAATATCAACCATTATTGGAATGAAAACAAATAAAACTGTCATACCCTTGTATACAGCAATGCTATCAGTATTTTTAGTATATTCTTGATAAAACGTGGCACTGGTTTATATTTATTATATATATTCAACGTACGATAAGTCCTTTAACAGAAAAGATAAAAATATACAATAATACAACAGACTAAAGAGAAATTTCATAAAAATATAAAACAGAATAGAACAAAGTAAATAATTAAGATAGTTTTCTAAAACATTAATAATAATTAAAACAACAATAAAAGTAATAGGTAAATGAACAGTAAGTAAAAATATTAATACAGTATAAAAATCGATCCAAGATTAGAGATGATTCATCTATTTAAATTATTATTATTAAGTATAATTAACGTATTAGCTTTGAAGGTATAACGAGACATATTAAAAAAATCAAGTGTAGCAGAGATAATATTGGCTAAAAAGGGAGGAATGAGTTAGTACCAATGTTTATTTTGTAGAATGGGATTTTAAACAAATCTAAGTTAATCTAAGTACGTGTGTTTTTACGAGGAATACGGAAATTTATGAGGCTAAAGATCTCAGGACAAATAACAAAACCGTTAGAATGTCAAAAATGACATTATGTCCCCTAAATGTCGTCTTACTTTAAGATGATGAACCCCTATAGAATCTTGAGGTGTCTAACCGAGCAATGTGATAAAGTATAACCTATGACATTGGTTATTCTTTTTAAAAACTTAAATTGGACATTATCTAAATCAGTATTGTATGTTGAGTAGTCACTTGACCAGATAAGTGAACCAAATTCAAGAGCCGATCTAACTATCTAATGAGTAATGAAGAGTTTTTAGGCAGGTAATATTTTTTAAATCATTGGTATTTCTGTTAATGAAGCCAAGCATCTAATATGATTTATTAACCATTACCTACTTTATGATTAGTTTTAAAGCTAAGATTTTTTCGAAATATATTCCCAAATCTTTAATGGAGTTTACATTTGAAAGTGGGAAATCATTGATTTTATATTGAAAATTAAAGGAATTAATTTTACGGGTGAAAGATATTACTTGACATTTATTTATATTAAGAGGAAGATGATTTTTTTCACTCCAAAGGTAAAGTTTATTTAAATTGGTTTGTAAACTATGTTGATCATCAACCGATTTGATTTTACAAAATATTTTCGCATCATCAGCAAAAAGAAGAATTTTAATAGACGGTTCGAGAACTAATGTTAAATCATTTATAAATATCAAAAATAATAAAGGCCCCAAGTGAGACCCTTGTGGGACGCCTGATGAAGTAGGATAATCAGTCGAGATAGAAAATGATATTTTAACAGCCTGAGTTCTATCAATAAGAAAAGAGAACAACCATTTAAGGAAATTAAAATTCCAAACAACTCTAATTTATGATATAATAACAAATGGTCTACTTTGTCGAAAGCTTTTTCAAAATCAGTATATATAGAATCTACTTGATAACCTTCATTTAATGATGTTATTAATCAATTATGGTACGTTATTAAATTAGTAAAAATTGAATGTTTAGCTAAAGATCCATGTTGTGAGGGACTAATATAAATGGTTAATAAATTTGATAGTTTTTTTGATATAATGGCCTCAAACATCTTAGGAAGAATCGAGAATTTGGTAATTGGTCGATAATTTCTTACATTATTTCTGTCGCCAGATTTGTAAATGATAGTGATAAAAGATTTTTTCCAAATAAGTGGAAAAATACTAGTGTTCAACGATAACTTAAATATGTGATTTATAGATTTAGCAAGACCAAACATTTTTTAATAAAATAGGTAAACAATCAGGACCAGTACTAGATTTTTCATTAGGTGATGTTAGATGCTCAATTATATCATCTTCAGATAGGTATAGATATAGAATTTAAATTAAATTCATTACTAATAATATTGGATAGTTGATCAAATTGTTAGGTACATTTATTTATATAACGGTTTTGAGCGATTTACGGACATTTCAGTATCCCATATTATTTATTTTATTTCTATAAATATCAATAAATTGTATTTGTCTCATTTTTTTTTTTAGTATTTAAAGTTCAAATTTGACAAAGGGTGTAAAAATCACAAAAATGTGCGAATTATTTCAAGTTAAAAATTTCAGAAAAAATTATTTTAAAATCTAGGATTTTAAAATGTTATACAAGATTCCACATTAAGTTTGTCTGTTCTTATTAAAAAAAAAATGTCTATTTTTATGAGCGTTTGAACTTGAATTTGTACAACATTTTAAAATTTTAAAACAAAGTTCTTAAAAGTTGTTTATAGTTTATACTCAAACCAAAATCTCTATAAAAAACAATATACATACCTATACAAACATAGTTTTTTCTTTATAGATATTTTAAGTTAAAATTTGGACGAAATTAGATATTTAAATAAAGAAAAACAATTGTAATTATTTTGTTGTAATTAAAAATATTATGCAAGAGTACCTACTTGAAAACTTATAAGTAAGTATCCTATTATTATATACACTTTCAAAACATGCAATGTTTTCAGTAAAATATTATTCAACTTCTTACTACTAGTAAAATAAATTACTTAATAGCAATAATATCATAAAATAAACTTGGTAATATAAGCTAACAGAGCGTCTTCGCTCATAATTATAATTTTATACAATGATTTTAAATCATTGAATTCAAATTACTACATCCATTACACAGATCTCTTAGGCTCACATTCAGTCTTAAACTTGGGAGTGCCAAAATGTTTTACCCCAAAGTGACCCATACAAACACCCACACACCTATACGGTTATACATACCAGACGGCAGACATGAACTATTTTCATTAAAATAAAATTTATACTACTAGATTAAAAATAGGTGGGGTAAGTGGAGGTCGCTCTGCTGTACAGTAGGTTACAAGTGGGTCACTGTAATGGATGGTGTTAAATTTGAATTCAATGATATAATATCATTGTATAAGAAAACGATTCTGAACGAAAACGGTCAGTCAGCCTATGATATTACGAAGTATATTTGATGATTATAAGATGAATAAGTAATTTATATATAACCTATTTACGTGGAGTCTTGTTATAAATTTTCAATCTTTAGCTATGAAAGTTGAACATTTCATACATTTTCAACTACAAATTATTGTAAATTTTAAATGTGATAAATTTTGTGAAAATTTGAACTTTAATGCGTATAAAAAAAAATTGTGTCCATGTATTTTTAATATTTTTCAACTGCTATTGTAACAATATATCAGGAGCTTGGAATAAATATTAACACTTTTTTACCCAACAAATAAAATTTTATTGATATTTATAGGAAAAAAACTAAAAATATTGAAAACTGACAATATCCGTAAACAGCTCAAAAAGAGTCAAATATTTTGAACATTTTATGGTGCATAGAAAATGACAATATAATCTTTCAGTGAAAATTGCATGTATCTACGGTTATTTTTTTTAGAGCTACAACAAAAACCAAAACGTTTTTGGGTAAAAATTCTTGTTTTTCCTTAGTATTCATTTTTCTTTTCCCGGCGTTTTTGAAAACTACTGGGAATTTTTTACTTTGATCCCTAAAGTGCTAACTTGGTTCACTTTCCTATCATCAAAGATACTTTTGAAGAAAATCTAAACATTATTATTGTCCCAAAAAGTGAACTGATGACAAACACCAAATACTACAATAGAAAAAATTAAAAAATTATAAAAAACGCACGTTACTGAAACTATAATACATTCATTGCTCAGCTCAGAACCTAAATTGAACAAAAAATATTTTTTTAACTATAAAATAATTTACAAATTTTAATATTTTGATAAACTTTGTTGAAATTTGAATGTTAAAGTTTTTTTTTAAAAACATTCGTTCCTATTATATGTTCATATTTTTAAATGCTATATAACAATTAATGAGGAACTTTGTATTACATTTTCAAGCATTTCTACCAAACGAAAAATCTAGTATCGATATTTATAAAGATAAAAGCCCTAAAAAAATTTCATCTTTCAAATGTCTATAGTAAATAGAAAAAGATTCAAAAATTGTATGATGAATAGAAAATGGTAACTTCAATAATTGGTGAAAATTTCAGTTAGGTATTCGTTTTTAAGTTAATATCTACAAAAAAGCAAAATCGATTTTGCGTAAAAATTCTAGTTTTCTTTAATTTATTTTTTGTTTCTCCCGACGCTTTTGAAAACTACTGGGAATTTGGTGTCCCACATTATTGATTGATGATCACTAGATCCAATTTTCTTCCAGAAACCACCCACAAAAGTGAAAATCCAAGGCTCTTTTGACTAGGTACTTTTTGTACACACACACTTAAAAAAAACACATGTCACTGTAAAATCAAAATTCTAAAATTCCCAGTACCTACTTACCTATTTTTCAAGGAAATCAGTAAAAACAAAATAATAATTTAAAAAAAAAAAATTAATTTTAAAGAAAACCTTAAACCACCTTCAATAAATTCCCAGCCCCAGGTATGGTCCACTTATAGATGGTCGAGCCTTGTAGATAATATTCTGAAAGGCATCATAATATACCTAATTAAATACTGTATAAACAGTTTATGTTGGGTAAAGGCGTAAAGATATCAAAGTATCAACTGAAATCAAAATTCCCAAAAATACGCATTTTTATCAAACGGGTTAGTTTTTCTATAAAAATAATACAAAAAATGTTTGTTGTCAATTTCGAGCACCTGTTCCTACACGGTTGCACTAAAAATTGTGGGAATAACCAAATTCGCTTTATTTGTTTAAAAAAAAAAAAAATCATATGTACCTAACTATATTTTCATTATTTTATGAAAGATTACTAAATCGAACGCACTTATTATTATAGTTAGTGGGGCACAATCTTGTTAAATACCTTTTGGTGTATTCTTATTAGATGTTTTTAGCAGCAAGTCCACTTCTTCGATGTCTCCGACCAGGTGTTTGAATTCGCGTTCGACGTCAGTCACCATCCCCCTAAAATGTAGCCCTAACGATGAGCCAGGGCGGCTGTTGTCAGGGAATGAACGTTTTATTCCACCCATTGCACAAACTTTCACTATCATATCCCTGATGAGTTCATCACTGCATGATTCTACAGATACCTGCATTACAAACATGACGGTCACTTGCACTAAGGCCACGATCGTCTAAAATACCACAAATAGCGTTAACACAACAAATAGAAATTAGAAGCGACTTAGACGTTTCTTCTAAGGCAGAGATACTTCTATAGTTTTATTAGGTTGGTCAAAATTAAACTTACAAATTTTGTCATATTATTTCTGTTTCGCGACAAGTGTTCATCGAGTCACAAGACATCAATACTAACGCATTGTCTCATAGATGAATCCCTTAAATAGTATTTTGAGTCTATTTTATCAGTTTTGTTAAAATTATTCTCTTATTGTTCAGACATGTTTTTAATGACTTAAAAAATGAGATAATATCATGACGTAAAAATAAAAATAAAATAAATTACTCAGTCCTCTACATAGACAAACGATGACATTGTTATTTTAAAATATTTTAATACAAACAAAAGACGTTTTCTAAATAAATGTCTATTGATAATATGTAATTAAAAACACAGTATAAATATAATATGTATAATAATAAAGATAAACTCTTGAGGTTAATGATTTTCTGTTTGAATCTGCAATGGAGACTTAGGCCGCAACTGCTTTGTATGGTCGCTTTTGCATCATGTTGATTTTGTCACCAAGACTGAGTGCCATTCCCTAAAATCAAATTTTATACCACAATGCATTATTACAACCATGGATTAGATAAAATCATTATTATTAAATAACAGAAACAGCTTTTATTAGCTGTGAATTCTAACTTTCATTGTATGAGCAAAAAAATTATTTTTCGTATTGGTTAATGTTTTTATTATAAAGTCATAAGTATATAATTAAATATAGATTTTAAACTACTGTTGAACAGTTCTTGACTGTAGTAAATTTTGTTTTTTTATAATTCAGTCTTAAATGTATATTGCTTAACAATATTCACAATCTGCTAGCTTAGTTGTTTATTTTAACAGCCATAAACAGAGCAAAAAATGTAATTATTCTGAATTTGTTTTACATTTTAAAAATATTTTTATGATTCATTGCAACTGATACGTGGGAATGCCAAAATAGCCATTCAATATAAAGTTATTTATTAGTTAATATGATATTAAATTGAGTATAATGTATGTCTTACTAAGTTATACATTCAACTGTAAGCCATTGTAATTTAATCAGTAAACCGAGTATAATATTTACAGTTTCTATGTTCATTGTTAATTGTTATGGAATTCTATTATTAAAGGATCATTTACCAAACTATTTTACATGCATTTTTTAGTGATATTTAAAAGTATTCTCTATTGAAAAATGTCTAGAAATAAATGTCACAAACTATTTTAAACATTATACATTTCAATTTGATCAACATTAGTAATATCTCATTATTATTTACTTAATAACCTCAAAGAACTTATAATGGATATGCAATGACAAAATAAATAAAACGCATATTTTAAATTAACAATAATATGAAATTCATTAAGACTCAATTACTCCAACATTATTTCTGGTCTGTTGAAAAAAAAGGATATTCAATTTAAAGTTTAAAGTTTAAAAATAAAAATTATTTATTCTCATTTGGATAGATCAAACATGTTTCTACGAATCTTAGAATCTGACTCAACAACTTATTTACATTTTTTTCTAGCTAAAATTGCTTGAATTATGTTCACATAAATACGAGAGTTGAATAACTTGACATAACCACAAAACCACATCATAATCATAGGAAATATTTTTTCAAGAATGTTTAAAAAAATATATATTAACGAGATATGAATTTTAAATTCACAACGTTTTAAAGTCTAACCCATCAGTCTTAAAGCCAAATCATGTAAGAGAAATAATTTTTTGTGATGATAGATTATTATTTTTCTTCATAATTAAGAGTATTTTTAAAATTCAATGACACAGTTTTACAATAATAGAATATTGTTTAAGTACTATTCTATGTATAACAAAATATTTGTTTTCAATACTTCATTCACTATCAGCTTATAATAACATAACATAATTATTATGTTTCAGTGTATGTTTACATATTATATGAATCCGTATTATGTACAGTATAAAAATACAAGGATTAGACATTTTTTACAAAAATTATAAACTATGACATGTATTACTTAATATTCAATTTAAGCTTGGGAGTTTAAACAATTGTGACATAATTTTAATATTGATTTTTAATTACCTGACTTTTAGCCCGAATTCTAATATGACCAATGACTTGTGGCTTATCTAATCCCTTTTCAATACTTAAATTTGCCAGAGCATCTTCGCCGAATATTGATCTCGCATATAAATTTGCTGCCATAAATCCACACTGTCCAGATAATGCTTTTTCTGGAGTTAAACATTTCATGTTAGTGCTCTTCAATAAATGTGCCAAATATTCATTAAGATCTGTCAAACTGGTGGAAACAGAAACCTAAAACAATAATTTGTTTGTTTACACCTAAATGCTTTTAACACAAACACAAAAAGGACTATACTTTGTTCTCCCACTCAAATTCAGTCCACATTTGACGGAACTCAGAGTCGTTACATACAGCAGGCATTATGTAGTCCATTATGTCTATACGGATGTCATCTAACACAACCACATTCCGATCACCAATTGCACCTCCGATATCATACACTAGTACAAAATAATAATAAATAATAATTAATATAAGTTATAATAGAAAAATGCATTTAATTTACCAATGTTTCCAAAGATTATGCCATTTTCAGTAGAGGCAACTTTAACACTTGCTTTGATATTACAGAAATCGTGAGGAGCCAAAACAACAGGTTGTGGTTTTTCAACCAACTTCAGATCTCCCATTGTGGCCAACTCGAGCGTGCAATTTTGTAATGTATCACCTTATGTTGTGTTATATATTAATGGTTATTACAATTATAAATAACTCATGTAGTCATGTCTAACCAAAAGTTAATTTTTTACCTGTTTGATTAACAATCAATACATCTAAAACGATATCATACTGATTGACATGAACATAAGCCTCAGCATACACTGGATCAGAAAATCCAGTCAGTTGTGTAACTTTATTAAGTTTGCTATTGGTAGAAAGTCCCGATGCACCATCACCACTACTATGATGAATAGAACCACCACCAGCAACGGCTTGGTTTAAACTGAGTTCGAAAACATTTTCTGTACCTTCTGTGCCGTTACTACTGGTACGTAAGAATACAATGGCATCATCAACATTCACTTTATGTCCTGGCTTCTCTTTAGCCTAAATACATTTTTTATTTACAATAACTATATAGTATAAACAATTTTAAATAAATATGTATATTATTATGAATTTTATTCATTAACTTACTTTCTTGTTGCTGCTTTCTTCATCTTCTTTAGCAGCCAACATTCCATTTAATGATTTGCTGCACTCTTTAGTATAAATTTCTTCAATTTCGCTATCTCTATCATTTAATATTTTAATACTTTCCATAATTTTGTCTCCATCATCAATGCCAATTGGTTTAGAACAAATTCCTAAATAAGAAGTACACATAAAATACATTAATCAAAATTTCAATTTATAATAACCATCATTTTTGGCATATATTTAGGTTAACACCCACCCAGAAAGTAATCCCTCGCTTTCAAGTTTAGGTAACACAATAACACCCATCGCTTATTTCTTTTTAAATTTTTTATGGTTCTATTCATTGATTTCAAAATGTATACTGTGCATTACAGAAAAAAAGGTACAAAATAGTTTAACCTGGTTTGTTAATAATATTATATTCTTATATATGTGAAACTCACTCATGAGATATTTTAAGAATAATGATTAGTAAAATTCTAATAGTATTGTACAAGATAATATAACAATAATACCGCCATACTGGCCACTTTAATAACTCAGTAGTAAACCACAAATAACAAATATAACTTTGTAGACGCTATAAGCGGTACTCACACACAAAATGTAAAGGGGATGTGGAGAAGTGCTAAATGGAGCAACAAGAAATGAAAAATGACTAAGGTCTAAGAGAAATTTAATTTATTTATATTTAACAGTTGTAGTGAAGTAAACTAAATGGGAACTATCCATTTAAGAGGTATGCATACCGACCGTTTCTAAGGAGTTCAGTATAGGTTTTTTTGTGTGCATGCGGGTCGTGTAAATGTGTGTGTAGTAAGTGATCATTAGTGTAAGTGAATGTATATAAAATAAATAGCGGAGCGCAAGCGAACATGTCAGTAACGCAGCATTTTACACACTAATTAGTAATTACAAATATGAATTTTAGTGAAACACTGAAACTTAGTTTCGTATTTCCAATAATATAGCTTACTGAGTGACATCACAGTATGAACACCTATTATACAAATTGAAGAGAAGAAGTTTATTTAGGTTTGTATGTTTTATTTTCAATGTCCAATACTTAAATCTAAAACTTTTGATATTTTTGAATTTGAATTATTGAATTTAGTAATTAAAATATCAAAAGTTGACTTTTATACACATATAGATTAACTTCTCTTCTACAATATTGATAATAGGTGTATTTACTCTCTAACAGCTCAATAAACGATATTATTGAAAATACAAAAATGCATTTTCATAGAATTTTTCAATACTATTCATACCCCTTAAGGAAATATTGAAAGATATATCAGAATTTTCACCACCTGCATAATTTAATCGATTTTCATGAATTTTTGTTATTTTTTTCAGACTTTTTAATTAATAATTATTCACACTTTCACATTATAATATATTCATTTACTTAACAATTATAATTTATATTTATTGTTAAAATATTAAATAATTAGTCTGGAACTGATCAACTACCTAGTGCTATTTTTTTTTTATCCTTAGTACAAAGTATAATGTATGTTGTAAAAAATGTTTACTATTAGAATGTAAAAAATAAGAGAAAAAAGTGGTGTGATATTGCCTACTTCTGAGTGGCAGGGGAAGACTTTTTTAAATTGTAATCAATAAAGTTTCAATTATAATTACCTGATTTTCCAAGCTTCAAAATATAAGTTAAAATTAACATTAATTTAACACAAAATTGATTAGCCTTTATTGAATCTTGTTCTTCCCAAATGTCAGCATATCTTATGCCCAATTTAGTGAATGTAGTGCCTAATGCAGCACCAACGTAAAAATCTCCATCAATTAGATACTGACGTAATGGTGGCCGTTTTGCCTGACCACTTCGAGGAGTATTTGTAATAAATGCTGATTGAGTAGCATATGTTCCATCAGATGTTACCAACTGTGAACCACTAGACCCAAATTCTTCAACGTTTTCTGAATCTCCAGCTGCTTTCTTCAACTCATCTTCAACTAAAGGCATCTAAAATAAATCAATGTACACATATTAATGGCATATAATTATTTATTAAACTGTAATAAAAACTTTTCACCACACATCAATTATAAGTTGGAAAGAAAATATTTAATAGGAATTAACATTTTATTTTTTAGTATAATCATAATATTGAAAGAAGCAGAAAATTAAAAAATATAATTAGTAACTCATAGTTATATGATACAGTTTCAAAATTTAAAAAATGTTTACATTTAAAATATTGAATGGGTCTATATGACTATATGTATAGATCAATTGGTAACTGATTGGAAATTCTTTTTAATACAACAAAAAATTAAAAATTTTATTTCTGATATCATTGATTTTAAACTCTATTGTTATTTGAAATAAATAATTTTTATGATTATTTGAATCAATTGGTTATTGATGGTTTAAATTGAAAATGCCAAATCCTAACTTTATTTCTAATTTGTGGATATTTTCTGTAATTGTTATAACTTATAAGTTACAACCAATTTTCAAAGTATAAATCAAATCAATAACATACGTCTCCAAGTGATATTTTTATTTGTTCAATTGTTGCTTCAATATCTTCTTGTGAGTTGGCAAATTCGCCAAGTATCCATAATGCAGCTCTGTGCACATTGGCAGACTTAATAGATTGGAAAACTTCTAACAGACGCTGAATTATGAGAGGACGTAATGATTCAAAGAGGTAAATAGCTTCACGCAAAAATACCATAACATCCGTGGCAGCCAATTCTATACTATCAGACAAGAATTCAATGAGTACGGGGATCACTGTTGCAGCTATATCTGGAAACTATAAAACATAATATGAGTAAAAAAAACATTATAACTAACTTTATAAAACAATAACTTACCTTAATTGAGCATGTATGCAGTGTGCGCACAAGCAATTGTCTATATTTTCCAGTATCTTCATGTTCAGCTAAATTATGAGTCTTTTCCACTTCGTTTTTGAGTACAAACACCATTTCTTCAATATTACGAGATGATACCAAATCCATAGCTAAACAAACAGGCATCAATGCATTATCTCATTTTAACTACATACTTAATAATGTGTATAAATAATAGTATGGATGATTACCCAAATTCAATGTTTTCTTTCTAACTTCCAAATCGGTGCTAGATAATACTCTCAGTATATCCATGACCAAGTCCTGAAGCACTCTTTCGTGTGAAGGGTGTTCTTTAAGAGCAATTAAACGGTCCAAAACAATAAGTTTTACATTGTTATCACTTTCTTTTACAATTAACTCAATATAACAGGAAGCAGCTGCCTATATCAATTTTTAATTGTATTATTTATATCTATAACTGCAATAACAACATACCTTCACGGCAGTAGGTGCATTTGACAAGGTGACCAATGTTCCAGCAGCTTCATAACGAACGGCTGGGCTACTAGAATTTAGTAAATTGTAAATACAACGTATAAAACGGGATCGTTCTGAAGGATTTGCATGACATACCTAATTTTAATAAAACATAGTTGTTAATAAAAATTATTTAATTTATTTAGTGTTCTCATACTTTATAAATGAGTTCTACAATAACAAGTTGCAAAATGTCACCAAAAGAAGCTACTTGATCTAGACAAGAAGCCAGATATGTAAGTGCTCTATCTTGGTCAGCGTGTAACAACATCATAAAAGCATTACGTTTGCAAGACATGTCTTGCTCCCCATCAAGAAAATTAGCAATAAGTTCAGGAGCATCCGGTATCAAAAATTCGAAATTCCTATTTTACAAGTTTATATTAACATAGTTATAATTTTGAAATAAAAATGATTGTTTTAAATGAATATACAAATTAAAATTACCTGTAAATAGTGAATATTGCTAGTACAGCATTACGTCTTACATAGGAATGACGGTGTTCAAGACATGCTCGTATAGTTGGCATCAATGGTTCTAATAACTCTGGTTCTTTTAATTTACACAAGAATCGAAGAGTCGACCCTCTTAAGTATTCGTTTGGATGTTGTAAATCCTAAGATGCAAAAAAATAAATAAATACAAGTATACAATTTAGAACAATGAATTTATGATCAACATCATTAGCATTATCATCAACATTTAAAATGTATACACCTCAAATCAGTAGATATAATGTAGTAAGATGTAACATACCTACCGGCTACTAAATAGATAAAAAGGACATTTTCAAACTCAATAAATTGACTTATCAGTATTACACATTTTACAGTGGACAAGTACCTACCGAAATATATACTACTTCATTTTTATTTATAGTAAATTTGTTAAAGGAAAATTAAATTATAAAAAAAGGTTACATTGTTAGTTACCTTACGATACGCATCACAGACCAATATCATTTCTTGTAATAGTTTACCATCTGCTGTAGTTTTCGGTACTATTTCCCAAAATATTAAAAGTAGTTTTTTGATTGTATGGTCTTGTAACGGAAGGACGAAACGGATTATTATCATCAACAGCCCTGGCAAACGTTCTCCATTGGCTATCATATGAATGACTTTTTTTAATGCTTCAATTTTTGTTTTGCTATCACCTTTTTCTGTACATAATATATCATGATGAAATATCATTAATAATAATAAATTAATACACAACCCCGACGGACCAATACTAACCAAGATCTGCCTTGAGTTGCATTTCGTTTGGCATTTCATAATCACTAGATATGTTGATCAAAGTGTAGCAAGGCTGTTCTATAGACGACATCGTGGCTGAAAGGTAAAAATATTCAAAAATAAAATACAATCCAAACGCTTATTTGAGTGAAAACATCCGAAAATTATAAATTTTAACAAGTAAGAATTCTCTACAATCCTTAAATCGTTGTATATAAAGTTTTAATAAAATCCAATATTGTTTTATTATGATAACACGTCATAATATGATACGATGCATATTATTGTGAAGGGTTACCGTGGTTTTGGTAAATAAAAGTACCAATGAGTTACCAATAGTCTACCGGCCGGCGGCATTCACTTGTTTAAAAAAATTGTTTTGATACAACATTCGAATAGTTAATGAAATCAATCGTTGTTTATATAATTAATATGACATTTTAGCACTCTAAATGAATATCTTAACAACAATTAGTGGCGTTGCAACAGTTTGAAATATTTACTAAAAATGTACATTTTTTTATAAACTAAAATCCATTTTAGATTCTGAGTGGAACGAATTTTTTTTTTTTTTTTTTTTTTTTTTTTTTGTCTGTCATTACCTTTTAGGACAGTAAAAGTGCTTGGATTTTCTTCAACAGTATCTTTTCTGATAGGAAAGTGAATCTAGTTGGTACTTTAAAAATGTCCCAGTAGTTTTCAAAAGCGTCGCGAAAACAAAAGAAAAATTAAGGAAAAACGGGAATTTTTACGCAAAATCTGTTTTCGAGAAAATCGATTTTGGGTTTTGGTGTAACTTTAAAACAAATGACTGTAGATACATGAAATTTTCACTGGTTGTTCATATTTGTATTTTCTATACACGATAACATTTTCAAAATATTTTGATTTATTTTGAACTGTTTAGGGACATTTTCGGTTTCCAATTTTATTAGTTCTTTTTTTTATGAATATCAATAAAAATTTATTTGTTGAGTAAAAATACTTGAAAATTTAATACAAGGCTCCTACTATATTGTTTCATAGGCAGATGAAAAATATTAAAATCCTTAGTCACAGTTTTTTTTATAAGCATTTAAAGTTCAAAAATTAACAAAATACGGAAAAATCACGAAAATTAACAAATTATTTTGAGTTAAGAATTCGTAAAAATTTTTCTTTTTAAATTTATGTTTTTAAAATATAATACAAGATTCCTTATAAGATTATTTACCTTTATCAAAAAAAAAAATGTCTATAAGAAAGTCAAATTAAATTTTTAACTTAAAATACAAATTTTTACAACATTGGATATTCACTCGATTTCTAGTGTAGCGATTTCCTTATTTTGTTGTAATTAATAAAAAAATGACTGCAGATACTTGAAAATTTCACTGAATGTTTAAATTAGCATTTTCTATACAACATAAAATTTTGAAAATATTTTGACTCTTTTTGAGCTGTTTACGGACATTTTCAGTTTTCAATTTTTTTAGTTTTTTTTTCTATAAATATAAATTAAGTTTTATCTGTTGGGCCAAAAAGTGTAAAAATTTAATACAAGACTCCTGATATATTGCTACAATATCAGTTGAAAAACATTAAAAATACATAACCACAATTTTTTTTTTATAAGAATTTAAAAATCGAATTTTGACAAAATTTATCAAATTTAAAATTGAATAATTATTTTGTAGTTAAAAATTTATAAAATTTTCGACTTTTATATCTAGGGATTGAAAATGTAAAACAAGATTCCACGTAAGTAGTTAATTCTGTTACCAAAAAATTTAAAAAATACATAAGCGCAGTTTATTTTTATAGTCATTTTAAGTTCAAATTTGGACGAAATTACATAAAAAACCTAGAATAACTATTTTAGTTATTTCGTTGTGATTGTATAATATTATTCGTGGCCCGTGGGTACTTGAAACTTCTAAAGTGCACTATTATATATCTATGATAGTATCAGGGTTTGTTGTTGATGTATAACGCGTCATAAGTACCTAATGGATATTGTGATATGATTAATTTGGAATTTATTATAGGCACCTATTATAGGTCATTTTTTTTTAATACCATAGATAAGTATATAATATGTCTTATACCTAGACTGACATACCGTCTCCGCTCAGAATCGTTTTTCTTATACATTGTATATTATATCATTGAATTCAAATTTAACACTATCCATTATACAGTAACTCACTTGTAACCTACTGTACAGCAGAGCACCTTTTTAATATTATATATAATATATACATAAATAAATAATTAGAAACTCCGTAATTAAAATATTTATTTCAATCATAAAATGATATAGGTGCAAATGATACAGTCGAATATCTTGAACCGAAATTATATCCTAAAACTGTGTGAGAAGAATTGGGGCATGCAGTGTTAATTTAATAAACCGTCTGATAGTCAATACTCAATCCGTAAATAATCAAATACTTATCGTAATTGTATGGTAGTCGTGTTAAATGCTAATAACCTATGGTGATTGATGATATAAAATAATAATCATTAAATGTTGATTGTGCAGAATATTATCGTTAATCATAATTTTAAAAAAAAAATTAACGTGGTCGAAAATAATGCATTTCAATATAGGTAGTTTATGATGAGTATCTATTAAAATTTAAAATATTTATGAGATGTTATATAGTATCTATGGCAAAGATTAATCAAAATACAACATCATAATATATTATATTATAACACTGATCCGCATAATACAATTGTATTCACAAACCACACTCAGGATTCTAGGCATACTTACTGACCATATTATACAGAATAGTGAGCACTAGACCATAACCAGTAATTGAGTAATCACTGCATATCAAGTTTATATCTAATATGGTATGTACTCTTTTAGACTTGTGGTAAATATTAAATTCTATATTAAATTCTATACTATTCTTCATATAACCTCTATAGGCGAAAACTATGGCCGATTGGCATACACCGACACAAGTAGAAAGATCACTAGCGACCATGTGGGCGAAACTTGAAAAGTCTAATGTACCACTAAAAGTATATCATAAATTCATAATCTAAATGTTAACCTCCCCTATTCAAATGTTGCTCGGTGTTTATTAGGTACCCTTAGTGTTCAAAGATACTAATACTCTTGTGATTTAGGACATATCAGAAGAAGATTTAATAAGTTACTTTGGTAAAAAGAAAGCAGTTGTACAAAAACTACAGTACGAATTGATTTTTAACTCTAATAAGAAATTTGATCCGAAATCAAAACAAGATAGTTGGAGAAGTAAGAAAGAAATACACGACAATATTTACGAAGAAGTATATAATATGCATTTATTTACGATCTACAGCTCCTATAAGCATCCGTGTATTAAAACAGTAAACAATTAATTTGAATATTCGTCTTGCTAATTTGTTATATAGGAAGACCAACGGACAATCCCGGTAGTGACGTCCCATTTTATTGGTCATCGACTTAAAAACCTGGAAGGACAGTCGTTAAACAACTATATATGTAAGGAAGAAAATAACAAATAAAATATTTTAGTATATTATATTATATTATATTTTATAATGTAATAAATAACAAACAATTATTTAAATAAATAAAGTTAAAGTAGGTAATTTGGTTTTTAAAATTGTATTAAATATATACCTACCTAATGATATTTAATCATTTTATCAATTTAAAACTATATTATGAATCGTAAATTAAATTATACAATAATACCAATCAAGTATAGTATGTTTAATATATACCTATATGGCTATATGATATTAGATACCTAGGTACCTAAAACAAATGCAGACTATACCTACCTATTTGTTCACTTCGAACAAGTACTAGCAGTTAATTGAAACATATTAGAAATATTATATTTTAATGTTAAGTAGGTACATAACTATATATTTAACTATGACTTATAAGTTATAGATATATATGTTATAATATTTACTAAAAAACAATAATAATACAATTAAACATAATAAATAATAATATATGTATACAAAATATAAGTACCTACCTAGCTGCCAGTCTATCTCATAACTAAATATAAAATTACAATTTACATCTTTAGCCATTAGGTAGGTAGGTACGGATTAGGTATATCTAGGTATACGTATAAACATATTACTAAGAAAACTTTAATAATAAAACTAAAAACATTTTTAGACAGTGAAAACTTTCATGGATCATTTAAAGTGTTAAAAAAATAAATTTGTATAAATACCTATGCTGTCTCTTTTTTTGAATATAACTTTACTTACCCAGGTTTTCGTGTGGACTGAATGTCCGATCCGACGTTTGCATTTCGAATGGATGTTAATAAATAAACACTTTATATATATTAATATATTACCTACCTATATGGCTAATGGCTATATATAATAAACTGTAATTTAGTATGTTTCTGTTGCTACATAAAATATATGGTCCTCTAAAGTTTTGTTAAAAAAACTTTTATCTTCTGCAAATATAGAATATACCCATATATTATTTTTACAATGGTTTATGAAAATATAGATAGGATTTAAAATTACGTTTTGTTTTGAGAGAGAAAATTTGACTGATCTACCTCAAAAAAGAAGATTAGTGAAAATTTAAAAAAACCTATATAATATTATTATATTATGGATTATTTGGACGACCTCGTGTGGGCTGCAAAAAAAAGTCGGTCTTCACAAATCAGGCTTGAAGGATACGTCATCACATAATGTTTCCAATACACACACAGACAATATTATATTATATAACAAAGTCGTCAACAATTCACTTCGACAATGGAGGAACCCTATATATTATATTGCATGTAAGTAGGTATGTATCTACATATCCGTGATCTATATAGGTACCTACTCATAATATGTGTTCTATGGACGATCTGGATTCTTGCACACAACAACCTTCGGAGAACAATGGAACCATGTACAATAAATCTCTATTAATTTGATGAAGAAACGGGAACAACTATAGAAAATTACCTATTGGTTACTAGGTATATATTAATCACCACATAATATAATATTTATAAATATAATATTATATGGGTATAGGCTAGCGGCTCTCGAACTTTTTGTATCTTAGTAATGAGTACTATACATTTTGAAAAACGGGGAGGTTGCACAGTTAAAGTATTTTATTTAAGTACCAAGCTATATAGAAGACAATAAGTAAATTACAATTAGTGAACATAATGGGAAAAATAATACAAATGAACGATAAATTATTGAAGATATTAAAAGTAAAAATCCTAAAGTTTGTTCCCCCTTGCAGGGCCACGGTAGTCCGTTGGATAGAGAGTTACAAACTTGACGGACGAACATCGTACAATAAAATTATAGTCACTAAATAAGTAATGCAATAGCTAGGTACCTATAATAACTAATAGGTAACTAATAAAATATGTCCATCGTTGTCTCCGGCCTCTGTATAGCTCTGCAAAACTACGCATTGTTTTTATTCTAAACAAGTACATTGTTATATACAAATACTTGCATTATATATAAGCTACCTGTATATTTTTTATTTTATTACACGCGTTGTCGAGTACCTAGTCTTAAGGTCACTTTTAGAAATTTTTCATAATTTTTACACACAACAGCTTATATATATAGTATAGTAGGACTATGCCATAATAATACATAACAATCGACAGTTATATTTTATATTAACAATAGAACCTTTTAACCCGAAAGCGATCGACCTGTCATTGAAAAAGGAGGGGGTAGCTGAAATAACACCTCACCCCTGGGGCGAATTGGTGGTATGATTTCAAACCGATTATTGCATGGAAGTCAAGGTATATAAGACATGATTGACTACTACACGTCTACACTCTACACTCATATTCAATTCAACACTATCTGCAGACTGAAATACCATCTATCAACAATCGTCAATCAATACGCATATACCTAAAGCAACGTGTCTAATAATAGAATAATTTTGTTTGGTTAACTCTGATCACTATATCACTATAATATCATGCAGCATTTTAAGGTAAGTACTATTACATACTATTATATACATGGTGATTCATCAAGCATGCCTAATGGCCAGTGCTAATCCCCCCTTTTTTTCAGTATTACAAACTCAGAATTTTTTAGTTTTTAAATATACTATATAAGAAGGTAAGTACAATATAAGTTAGAGACCAAGATCGAAAGTTAAAATAGCTTGAGATTAACTCGATAAGTAAATTTAATAAGAAAAAATAACTTAACCTTTAAAAAAGTAATCCATTTTTTTTTTAAATTATAAAATCCTAAGAGTGAAGTCTTCTAGGATTTATAAACTTTATCAATGTCCTGTATACCATTTTAAATGTTATAATTAACTAACTCATCTTTATAATTCAAATATATTTAATCGTTAGAATGAATCTTTGAGTCATAAAGACCTCTAAACTTTATACTAAAATACATGCATTGTACTTTAAAAAATTTATAAAACATTTAGTATTTACAACATAAATGAGTATCATACAATAATAATATGCAAAAATTATGTTAGTGTGGTATTGGATTATTTTATTTTACTGTGTACGTATAACGACTCAAAAGTTACTTAATGATTTTTTTTAATCTGAGAAAGTGTTATTTCAGTAATAACTATTAATTCATGTTATTAGAAAATAAAATACGAGTTGTTAAAAAAATAATTTTAACTGAACTAATTTCAACTAGTAATCCCACTTGATAGACCAATTTTCAATGCTTGAGATCATATTACAACCTACTGTTAAAACTTCAATTTCAATGATTCAGTTTATGTAATATTAACGAAATGTTTGTCTAAAACAAGTCCTACCTTTATCAAATTTTAGTACCAGTTATGAGTTAGTATTTAATACTATTATTATATGGCCATGTGATTGAACATTTAGTACTTTTAATTTTTATTGTGAAAATGTTAAGCTACTTAGAAGTAAATAAATATTTTTAATCAATATTACGTTATTTTATATAGGACATAAGTTTATTATAAATTATAAACCATTTGGTACATATCTAATAACTGAAAAACTACTAGTTCGAATTTTGAATTAGGTTGAATTTACCCCCTTAGGTACAAAATTTATTATACGTCTTAAGAAATTTTACAGATAATCCTCCTGAAAAAGGAGTGAGCTGCAATCTTATAAAATTTAACTATAACCATCTAATTCACAGTTAAGTTAATGGTATTAATGAAAAGACTAAAATGTTAAGTATTTCTAATTCAAAATAGAGGTAACTAAAAATTAGATAAATTATTACATGAAAAATCAGTCTGGAAAGTTGGAGCATTGGACGTCTTGATTGAATCAAATACTTTTATTTAATCTTTATCGATTTTTTCAATAAAAATGTATTATATCTTTTCTTCATATCTCTAATATATATAATAAGTTAATATTGTTACACTATAAATAAATTGGTTTTTACGTTACCTTGACTTTTTTTTCTTTAATAAAAAGTAACATACGTATATATAAAATACATATTTCATACGAAAAGCATATAATAAATTTTTTCTCAGAAGCTAGGTTTGTGTGGAGATAAGTGCTTATAAATCTAGTTCTCAATCCAAATCATTCGGTGAAATTTACTTATCATACAATATAGTACCTTGTTTACTGGAAATCTTATAAAATGAACTATAATATTAACTAATAATAATTATATGTACAGTTGATGTTGACTGGTCAAATTGTTAAAATCAGAGAAAAGATTGAACCAAAGGTAAACTTAAAAAGTTAAAATAAGTAGTTGTGTTTAAATAATCTAGTTCTACTTTTGAAAAAGTCTTTAAAACTTTTAAATCAGTATTGTCTCTATTTAATACAAATGTATCTTTTACATGATTTTATTACATTTAGAATTATGTTTATACCCCTAGCAGGAACCACATGATGTTTGAATATCTATCAATAAATTAAAATATCAAAATATTATGTTTAATGTTAGTATTATTAACTGTTTCAAAAATATAAATACTAGATACACAAAATTGGAAATATGAAAATTACCTAAACCAAAAAAATAATTTATTTCAATATTATACGTACAGTTTCTCTCACTGACTATTCTCAAAACATGCACATTGTGATAAATTATTATCGAAATAAAATGATTTTATATTGCCCTAAAATAAATAGCATAAAACCAATAACTCTCGAAGAGCTTAAATTAAAAAAACCAATGAAACACATATTATTAAACCTTTAGTGGAATGTTTCAAGTTTCTAGGATTAATATTTTTTTAATTACTATTAAATAGCTACCAAACTAAAATCGTTAATTTACGTTTTTAAATTTGAATATACTTACTTATAAGGCTATACCGGCTATAACTAATTTTGTTCAAATTTGAACTTCAAACTTCATACTCTCATACATATTATAATTTATAAGATGATGTAAATAAGTTATCTGAAAATGTGTTATGACTTATGAAAACCTGCAATCTCCCTCAAAATAAAAAATAAAATACAGTTCGAACACTATAGAGATTATAGGTACACTTACAAGCAGAGGCGCTCTCAGGATATTTCAATGGAGGGGGATGAAAAAAATGGTTCCATAATAAGCCGTAAGGATTTTGCCTCACAACTCCCATATTATAGTAATGAATATAAGAAAGCGGGTAAGTGGATGTCCCTCTGCTGTACAGTAGGTTACAAGTGAGTCACTGTAATGGATGGTGTTAAATTTAAATTCAATGATATAATATCATTGTATAAGAAAAACGATTCTGAACGAAAAGGGTCAGTCAGCCTTTGATATTACGAAGTATATTTGATGATTTTAAGGTGAATAAAGTAATTTACGGAGTAATTTATATATAACCTATTTACGTGGAATCTTGTTTTAAATTTTCAATCCTTATAGCTATAAAAGTTGAACATTTTATACATTTTTAACTAAAAATATTTATTCAATTTTAAATATGATAAATTTTATCAAAATTTGAACTTTAAATGCTTATAAAAAAAAATTGTGCCTACATATTTTAAATATTTTTCATCTGCTATTATAACAATATATATCAGGAGCTTTACATTACATTGTCACGCTTTTTTACAAAACAAACAAAATTTAATTGATATTTACAGAAAAAAAAAACTAAAAAAATTGAAAACTGAAAATGTCTGTAAATAGCTCAAAAAAGTCAAAATATTTTCAAAATTGATTTTGAGTACGAATTCCCAGTTTTTCTTACTTTTTCTTTTGTTTTTCACTGCGCTTTTGAAAGCTACTGGAAAATTTTTACTGGAAAGCATGTTTACTGTCCTAAAAGGTGATGTAAGACACAAAAAAATATAAAAAAAGAAAAAAAAAACACACATCATTGTAAAATCAATACATTCTAACCAGAATCTAAAAATGATAGTTGATAATATCAAATAATCAATTCAAGTCATTTTTATTGCACTTTTTATTTTAACTATAAAACAATGTTATGAATCAGTTTAAATTATTTATTTTATCACTGTGTTGTTTTCATTGTGTATCCTACCATTTTTTCTGACGCTGGGAGTATGTAAAGTTGACGGAGTGATCGTTTAAAAAAATACAGTACAAATCAATTGTAAAATGAATTGCCTGTTATATGTTATCCTTTTCAGTGATAAATAATAATATAGTTCATGACTGGTGGAATCAATAATCACGATAAAGAAAAATAGAAAAAAAATAAATAAAAATAATATCTACCTAGTCAATATTGGAAACACAAACACATATCAAAAGTATCTAGACAAAAGATGTATTACTAATAAAATGTAAGAAAATAAAGATCCTTGGATCTATCCCACATATCCCCCCTCCGTGAGAACGCCCATGCTTACAAGTAAGTACAACTAAAAAAGTTAAAAATGAATTTTTCTTTTGTGCTCCGATAGGTATTGATACTGCAGAGTTTCGTGATCGCGGCGGCGGCGTTAATAATAATGTCATCGGTGGCGGCGGACGAGCCGGTCGCCGAGCCATCGCTTTACTCGACGGCATACTTACCACCGAAACCTGTGGTCGTAGTCGGCGGCCCGCTACACTACAACAGCCCGTATGATGGTGCCGTGGCCAGCACGTCGACAAGCGTGTTCCGGACACCCGGCCACCCGGGTCAGGTGTCCGCAGTTCACAAAACCGTTGAGACGCCGTACTCGTCCGCTCACAAGGCGGATGTACGATACACCAACGACGTGCAACTACCGTATCATCACTATCCGGCCGCTGTCCCCTACGGCTATGGCCCGACCGCTGTTCCGTACGGCTACGGCCCAACCGCCGTCCCGTATGGTCATGGACCGGTCGCCGTCCAGTACGGCCATGGACCGGCTGCCGTCCCTTACGGCTACGGACATGCTGCGGCTGTCCCGTACAATCATGGACCGGCTGCCGTCCCCTACGGCTACGGACATGCTGCGGCTGTCCCGTACAATCATGGACCGGTCGCTGCCACGTACGGTCATGGCCCAACCGCCAGTGGATATTCAGTCTCACACGCCAGTTTCTCCGGACCGCATGGAACCCACTACTCGTACAGACGGTGATTAGGGTGATTCTTATTTAGTAGGTAAATCGCGCTTGCGGTGAATGTACCTATAATCATAAAATGACAATAATTGTACCGATGTTATTTTTATAATTTACGCAAATTATGAATTGTATTTAATGTGATATCAAATTATATAATATAGGTATATTTAAAAAATAATATTATGAGATTTTAAGTTTAAAAACAAATGCCAGCGATTTGGCGATGCAGTATGCACAACTGTCAAGTGTCAACTATAAATTATGTATAATATTATATCGGAAGCTTAAAAATAAACAGATTTACCTTATTACCTACGTATCTATTGATTATTTGATAAAACTTGATTGCATACATTAATACAAATTTACTTTACGTTGTATATTATGTTGTACATGCAACAAGTTGTCTATACCTATTGTTTACACATTATACATTTATACACACACACACACACACACACACACACACACACACACACACACACACACACACACACACACACACTTTTAACCACTGTAAAATCAGTAAATTTTACATTCATCGCTTTGCTTAGAATTTAAAACAGGTAGTCGTTTCAGACAATATTATTTGGCTGCATGATGACGAAATGATTAATGATAAAATCGATCTTGATAGTTGGTTCAATCAAATACGGTGAAATACCCAATGGACTCATAAATTGATTTACAGAAAATATTATAGACATTGGGCACACCGCTGTAAGTCATAACTTTGGCGTCTCATAAGTTATAGGTATCTGATATAGGCATTAGGCATTTAGGCATTTAGAGATATATAGTCATAATTTAATAGTCTTTATAGTTTATACATTTTAATATTTTATAGTAGCACGTTTTCTCGCTGACTGCTACCTACCTGTTCTCGAACACGCCTATATGTGTTATGTTAATTATCAATAGCTCAATAATATAGAAATTGGAAAACAATTAGAAGGTATAAAAATAAAATTAATGTGAGTAGCGTAGCTACGGGGCAGGACCCGTTTGGACCAATTTTTCTAAAACACCACTCGTTTGGACTAAAAAATATTACTTTTATACAACTTGTTTGGACCAGCATTTCCCTTCCCATTTTATTTTTAACGGGCTTAGGACTGTCTTTGGCACGGTTAAAAATGTTGTTTCTTATTATTATTATTATTATTTAATTGTGTATAATATTAAAAAAATAAATAGGTACCTACATTAGGTACAAATTATTAATTTTTTAAATACGAGTCGACTGAATTACGAAAATATATTTTTTTAATGAACTATTTAAATTCGAGCTGCTTGAAACTTTTGTCCAATAATCTTTAAATACGTCAATTGAGATATCTCACCATTTTTATATTGTGCCCATCGTGCATGTAGTATGTTGTATTTTTTTAATGAACTATTTAAATTTGAGCTGCTTGAAACATTTATCTATTATTGTATTATACGTATGATGTATAATATAACTGCGGGATTTTGGTCAGTTATCAATTATAAATAATTTTGTTCTGTACATAATCTACAAATTACAAATTAGTTTACACAGTTAAACTGAACATCTTACTACTCCGACGATGGCGCGTTTTGCTCTCCGATACTTAAGCTTAACCAATGTAAACTAAAAGCGAGCGCGTACGGCCTAAGCGGGCTTTCTAGTAAATATTTAGAAATTAGAAGTACTTTATTTAAAATGTACTAAAAAAATTGGCCCAAACGGGTTCACAAAATCCTGGTCCAACCGGGTTACATTTTTATTGGTGACCTAAACGTCCCTGGCCCAAACGTGCCTCGCCCTAGCTACGAAGGTACCCGAGGATTTAAATGTCTCATTGATTTTAGTATAATAGTTAGAAGGGTACGGAAAAATAATTTGAAAAAAAAGAGGGATTCCGTTATCAAGCACTGTGAGTCTAGGTATATTAGGCTATAGGCTTTGCAGCCATACGATAATGAAATAAACCATAGAAAGTTAGGTACTCGATATTTCAGCTCTACGAGGAAAATCTACGAATTATAAATATATTTTTGTTAATAAGTAACCATGGCAACGAAAACCTTTCGAAAAATTGGTCAGAAAAAATAAAAAACATGTATCCAATCCAAAAACATATTTATTTTAAAATCGAATTCGATACCCACTAGTCACTACCCATGGGTAAACCGTAAATGATGTTTGATGTATATATACATATATGCACAATGCACATACATGCGTTGTGTATATAGTATAATACCTAAACATAACAATATTCGAGTTTGTATAGCAATGTACGTAATGCATGGACACTGATGATTGGGCACTCACACAACGTCACATATGACATATAGATAGGTATGTACCATATAATCTATAATTTATACGTTATAAACTTATAAAATATATCAGTATATGTACACATGATATAAGGAACAGTGTTGATTTAAGATTAAGACAATATTATTATAATTTATAACCTACAGGTATTGAAACAGTCAAATACTCTAATGACTTGTAATTTTAATATGTTTACAAAACACACACATATAGAAATAGGTATGTACAAGTATACATATTATATATATATATTATATTATATTGAACATAATCAAAAGCACTTATAAAATGTAAGTGTGTTGAGTGTAAGTTTGTAACTGTATAAAGAATTATCTCTCGAAATTAAGATATTAGATAGGTAGGTATAGCCGTATAGGTAGGTAACAAACTAGGTATACCAATAATTTGGGTGGATCTAGTAATAATATATTATTGGGTCACTCATATGAATAATTGTGTAGCTTACTGCTTACATGTTATAATACCTACTCCACACTTATATACCAGTTACCAGTTATAACACAAATATGCTAGTTATAGTAACAATAGGATAGTGGTAACCTATAGTGACCTTATTATATACCTAATTAATAAATTAGCAAAAATTAGTATTTTCTACATAATTAATTAAACATAATATTAATTTATTTTTTAATAAGTACAATGCGGTTTATAAAAATAAAATATGGTTTTGCCTATATTGTTATTTTACTGACGTTAATAACATTTTTAATAAGTTTTAAATTCATTCCAACTGGATTTGAACATAGGTATGTATATAAATTATATAAACTTTAAATACTGAACTCCATATATAAATCATGATAGCATATTATATTATTGTCGATTAGTACCTAATATAACAAAACATTAACACATAATATAGGTAAGTATTATCATTGATTAAATATTAATCAATGGTATTACCTATGTATTGTATTTAAGTTTAAATTGTGTTATATATACACCTATATGGCTATATCATAATATTAAAATGTAGGTATTTTAAAATAATTTATAAATCCATCTTTCGGCAACTTTGGCACTCTTTCTCCCATTTGCCCCCACCCTAGGCCCTAGCAAGGCCTTGTCATGTGGTTAGGTTTTTATTAATGATTGGTGATGTTGTTATACCTAATACCTAAACAATATTATTGAAATTTGGCAAATAACAGTACAACTTTGAGCACGGACCACACGGAATCGGGAATACTATTAGAGTGTAATATACCTACAATAATATAGTAGGTACTTTTAGGCTTTAAATCTATCTGTTTAAAGTATAAACAGGTATAGGCATCTACATGTCTATTCACTATTGCCTATTGGTTAATGGTCTCATTAGCATTAGTCACAACTTTAATATAGTTTATATAGTATGTTAGCATAATTTTACTACCACAGCTGGTAATTCTAAAATATTAAAAAGTTTATTTTTATTTAACTTTATTATATAATATGACTGTTTAGTCAATTATAGTTTAAATAGTAACTTTACAGTTTACTCATTACAAAAATCTATACAACTAATCAGGCATATTAATTATTATTAGATTATTAAACTGTGAGTGTGACCATTGGCCTGATGTTGGCGCAGTGGTTGTCGCTTTCTGAGTCCAAGCACAGCCCAACAGCAGGTGTCACAAGTTCCTGGATGGGCGACCACCTGGGTTTTGGTGACAAATCCTCGCCACACATGCATGTGTTCCAAACCAACCGTACCCCCCACTACCCTACCCAACTTTACAAATGTTAATGGCCATAGTTGACAGGGTACCTATAAGAACAATACAATTTAAAAAAAAAACTTTTGAGTACCTATTAAAGACTGCAATTTTTATATAGGTTTATATTTTTTTTTTTTTAGTGCCTTACCTACAGGCCTTTGAGGCCTTTATCACGCTTCTATTAAACTTTTCCATCCATTCCAGTTCATTGCATCATCCAATCGCCTTGACTCGTTGGTGTCTGGGATATCCTTCACACTACCTATCTAACCACCGCTGGTGAAGTCTTCCCCTTGGTAGGTAGCTTATTTCTTTGGGTTCTGATCAGGTCATTTCGTATGATAGTCTCACCAGACCACCACCAAACATGGTCAGCCAACATAAATAGACCAATCGCTTTGCTTTTAAAAACAATTTGATATTTAGCTTTTTATATAACTTTTCTATATAGATCATAATTTTTTCGTGTCTCATACGCTCCATATTTTGGTTTTGAACAGGACCGTGAGGCGTGAATTGTCCGTTAAACTTTTATATTAAAGGAAGTTTATATTATTAATAAGCATAACAATTTTCTCTTGTAATTTTCCCAAAATTGAAAATATTATAGAAGTAGATACATACCTATTTTTAAAACGTTAATAGTGTTAAATCGGCTAGTGGCGATTATACCAATCATTTCCAAATGCTGTTTTGAGGTTTTAAAACTTACTTAAATAATAAGTTAAATAGGTAGTTGGTGAAAAAAAGGTATAGCATTCAGTTCTTAAAATATATAGGATAGGTACCTTATAATTTTATTAATATTGTCAATATAGGTATGACATTTTTGAAATAAAAAAATATGTTTTTTTCCTTTTGATGTTAGGTAGGTGCATACAAAAATAATAAGAAATAATAATAGTTACCTACTAGCTACCTATCTAATTGAAGCTTTTTTTTAGTTATAATCTAACACTATATTAGTTTAATAATAATTTTCCAAAATAATAGGTACTAACAAATACACTGTGAATTGGACAATACAAATATTAGTTAATATTTTCCTAGAATAATTATACTAAAAAATTATTTAAAAACTATTACAAGTTTTTTTCAGGACAATCATTGAATCGAAGTCACCACAATCTGCAACGGTCACAGAGAAGAAACGTATATTTTTTATGAAAACACATAAATGTGCTAGCTCTACTGTTCAAAATATACTGATGCGTTTTGGTCATATGGAAAACCTTGATTTTTTGTTACCAGATATGAATAATTACATAGGAAATCCTATACATTTTAACATAAGTATGATAAGTAACAATTATTCCACTGAGGATCGCAAGTTTGACATGTTTGTTCATCACACCAGATATTCTCAAGAAATAAAATCTGTGATGAGGCCTGGTACAATTTACGTCACTATTCTTCGGGAACCCACAGCATTGTTTCAGTCATTATACTCGTTTTACCATTTTGATAAAAAATATAAATGCAATTTAACTCAGTTTATATCCGATAGACTTTCGAACAAATCGTCTGCAAATCAAATAAAACGTTACAGTAACAAATTAGGAATAAATCAAATGAATTGGGACTTGGGAATGGACACAGATGATTTTGAAAACACTGATAAGATAAATAAACATATAAATATGATCGAGAGAGATTTTGACTTTGTAATGATATTTGAATATTTAGACGCATCTCTTGTTTTGTTCGCACATTTGATGCAATGGCCATTAGAGAAAATGGCTTACTTACCACTTAACACCAGAAATAATACATATAAACAAATATTATCAAATGATGATATTACTCGGTTAATACAAGTCAATATGGCAGATAATATGTTATACACGCGGTTTATACAAAAATTTAAAAAAATGATAAATGAATATGGAATAGAAAAGCTAAAAAAAGGAATTAAAAGTTTAATGGCTATAAATCAAGAAATCTTAGAAGTGTGTGTACAATCAGTGGCAAATAAAGGTTATGCTAGAACTACATCATACAAATTAAAAGCAAATACAAAAACAATGTGCAGGTATATTGCAATGAATGAATTGAAATACACATCACATCTAAGGGAAATACAATATGAGAGACAAAAGAAATATAAAGCACTGGATAAATTAATGAATAATAATTAAATATTATAAAATATATTATCATATAAATTAAAAAACATTGTTGAATTTATTACAAATATATCTTTTTTTTTTTAAATAAGACAAATACATATTTTAGCCGAGCGTAAAAACTCACAAATTATTGAATGCATTTATTCTTACATTAATTTTAATCCATTATCAAATCACTATAAGCTAGATCCCAATAATGTTCCACTCCATGTTTTTTTAATTGTTCACGAGCTAACTTTTCAGAAGCACATACTTTAAACTTCATTTCTCCAAAATTACGTTGCTTCGACATACCCTGAAATGAAATCACAAAATACAAAAATGATCAGACATTATGTACCACAATACTATTTTTAAAAGTACATAATTATTAGGCTTCTTCAACGATATCGATATTTCGATACGATATCGATATCGCGAACTTTTTTTCGGAAATTTCGATATCGATAATCTTAATATATCGTACGATATATCGATAAACGATTATCGATATATCATACGATATATCGATAAATTATTATCGATATATTCGATAATCGAAATATATCGATATACCCCGGCCATTGGGTATTTACTATTTGTGTTAAAAATAGCACAGGAGAACAGAAAAATAAATAATTAATAGAGATAACGCGATATCGAAAAAAAATTTTAATATCGATATATCGGAATATCGATATATCGATATATCGACATCAAAATTTTTTTTTCGATATCGCGATACGATATCGCACACAATCAAAACGATATCGATATTCAAAATTATATCGTTGAAGAAGCCTAATAATTATACATTTAAATTATAATACAAATTGTGAGTAAACTAATATTCATCAATACAAATATTACTCATTTACTTACAGCATAAAATTTAGTGTTCCCTAATAAAGATAAATTAAAAAAAAAAAAAATCGTATATGTCTTACATTATAAAAAAATTCAATGAAAAAATAGTTAACATTCAATTCTATTAATAATAGTTGAATCATGAAATTGCAGTTTTAAATAGTTGTGTAATTATAAAGTTATTACATTTTATTCTATACAAGTTTTTATTTAATATTTTAAAAATAATTAAATTTGTATAAATAAGTTAATAAATAATTAACTAAATCTACAACAAACAAATGTAAAAATATACTTGTCCAGCAATATTTTATAATATAAATTTTTTTATTACCTCCCATACTAATGAACATTTATTGTTTGATTTTGGTTCTGATTCATCTTTAGTTTTAATAACATCATCTTCCCATTTCATTCTATGTAACATCAATCTAAACAAATATATATAAATATTTTTTATTAATTTGTTTAATAATCTATCGTTGATATAATTTAACAATTAAATAAATATGATTTAGTTACCTTTTATATTTTTTTTGTTGTTTTGGTCCCCCTTCGACAATAACAACATTACAATCTTTGCACAAAATCACACAACCAGTCATAAATAGTTGTTTGCTATTGGTTTCTATTTTATACTTTTTTGATGGATTACCTAAGTCTTTTATTCTAAAATACATACACATACACTTAATTTACCTACAATTGTTCAAATAACTAATACTAATATCAAGTTTACCTATATATAGCAATGTTAACACCTAATGTAGTATCTTCTTGCAACTTTCTCATTTTTTTATCACGTCTTTGTTCTGGATTTAACCGACGTGATGCATTAGCTTCTTCGTGAGCTTTTTGACGTTTTGCCATTTGTGCCCTTACATGAGATTCCATTTTAGTTGGATCTTGAACTGCTTCTGTCCCCAAAACTCTCATCAAGTTTGAAATACGAAGCTAATAATTAAAATTAAAAGTATGAAGAGAAAAATAATATAGGGAATATGCTATATAGTTTATGATATAAATACCTTAGGTTCAGCTGGAGGTTCTAAACCAAGCCTAATTTTTTCTTGTTCTTCTTTCCATGTTTCACGACGGTTTTGACGACGTAGCTTCTTTCTTTCTTTTTTTGTTAAGAACACTGGCATAAAGACTGGTTTTAATGGATCAGCTGAAAATAATTTATGATTTATTTATTTATTAAATAAAGTTGTAATTACAGTGATTTAAGTAAGAAGACATTAATGTAAACTTTTTTAATCTTTTATTAGTTATAGTTTATAAGCAACGTTATATTTATGTTAAGACTAAAATAAAATATTTTGAATTAATGTAATTTAAGTTGAAAATGTTTTTTATTAACTAAGTACTTAGTTTTTAATTAAATAAAGATAATTCTAATATGTATAAATATGATTTTCCTAGATTGAAGACAATATAAATAATAAAAAAGTACTGCCTTTAGTAAAGCATTAGAAGTTTGGACTTAAATTATATTTTTTTTAAGAAATGCCATGGCGGCGACGGGGCGCAGGCAGCATTGCTGCCTGACTTCTTGGCCACTGGGCCGCAATATTAATATGGGCTGTTATATTCACAAAAACATAACTATGTCATAGCTGTAGAAAAGTAACTGCTTAGTACCTTATACAATTATCCAAAAATCAATAAAAATAACTGATTCATGCAAAAAGTGATGGGCGTGTGGAAATGGGCCGACTATCTCTGATTGAAACCGGAGGCGCGCACGCATATGACATACTGGAAAACTCTAGCTATCTTTTAAAATACATCACATGCAGGTCTGTGAAGCCAATTTCGAAATACCGTAAATACAAATAAAAGTATATATCAATGATATTAAACAAAAATAAAAAAAGATATGAATGTAAAAAAACAATTTTACATGAAAATTAAATGTAACAAATGTTTATACAAGAATTATTTTTTTATCTTTATCCAAAACACAAATTCTTGGCCGTCAATCCGAATCCCCAAATATCTTGGGGTAACCTTGGAGAGAGCCCTCACTTACAAGATAAAGACTGCTGAAAAAATGATAACAAGGAACAATATCAATAAAAAACTGGCAAACTCAGAACGGGAAGAAGATAGCAACACCCCCAGGATATTAATAGTAGCACTTACACAATCAGTAGCTGACTATTGCACACTAGTATGGCCACAAAGAGCCACAACTCAACTTTGCTATGAGAATAAATTAACACTGGAGCGGTTAAATCTACTCACACGGAATGGCCGCCTGAACTTGGTAACTTAAGTCCACCCTATTTACATTGATGTAACTCACTAGTACGAGAGTGAACTAAGTGCTTTTCGAACACCCTGCTCCCACTATATTATGATATAAATATTGGCCCTAAATTAAGACTAAAATCTAGGAAACCTACTTGGATGCTTGCCCAAAAATTAATATCAGAAAAATTCAATGTAAATAAGAAATGGAATAATGAATGGAAAAACAGCAATCCTAACAAACTCAACCTAATTGATAACCCAAATGAAGGATAACCGGGCTTCAACCTCCATTGAAAGGTATACAGACTCCTTACAAGCCACAGAAGAGAACAGGATAAATAAATATGATCCACAAATGAGGACAGAGACCCTCACCAGGATGTAACTGTGAACACAAAAAACAAACTGCTACACACATCATTGATGAATGTAATATTTAGTGATTAAAAAGAGGAATGAAAGAACTACACAGTACACATAGCCACAACAGTCGCAGTGCAATGACTGAAATCCCTCGACATACACATGTAAAAGAAGAACTATGCACATCATACACCATTACCAATCAACACATTACTTATATAATCTATTATAATCTATAATTTATATTTATTTTACTTATTTACATATTTTATATAGTGTATGTTAAATTTTGAATGTTATATTATAGCCATACAAAATAATAATAATAATTTATAAATATTGAAATATATTAAGTTAAACTTAAATTTAAATTCAGTGATATATTTTAATTTTATAGTCTTACTTGGTGGTCTCATTTGTAATGGATGTTCCACTAAGTGTGATATATTACTCCTTTTAAATTGAACTTCACCGGCCTCATTTAAATAACTACAATTTGAGAAATTTTATTTAGTTCAGTAAATTAAATAACAATATATTTATAATTACAAACTTACGATGCTCCATCTAAAATAACGCTATCCCACCATTCAAAATCAGGACAATGTTCAGTTAATTGTTCTTCTTTTGGCACTAACAATGCCATTTTTGTTACAGATGAAATGCCAGTTTTACGAGCAATTTGTGAAATTTCATTTTGCAATTTTTCCAACTGGGCCTACATTACAAAATATTATTGAATACATATAGATACTAAGTACTAACATAAAACATAAGAAATTGATATGAACGTATAGATTAAATATGTAATGATCAGTATGAATATTTTAAAATACCTTCATTCGTAGACGATCAGCAATTTGTTGAAATTTACCAGGTTCATGAAATTTTAAGGATCTCTTTGTACGGATATTCGTTTTTAATGTTAATCGTGGATCAAAAAACTTTAATTCAGAAGAATCGTCATTAGATTTTTCACTGAATGTTTGTTTAAATTCTTCTCGTTTTTTCGCTCTGATATTGGCTTTTAAGGTGGGTATAACTTGTGTTAACTGAACTTCTTTTCCAGTAATATCAATTGTACGTCCTTCACTATCAAGAATTAAAGGAGTTGGTTTTTCAGCAGATGAACTCATAGTTTTGGGAACACTTGGAACTGTCTTAATAAGACCGGTGGCTAACTTTTTTTGTATTTGAGCCTAAATAATTCAAAAAATATAATATTAATATGTATTATAATTTAAGAACAAAATTGTGATCCAGACATAATATTTTATAAACAAACTAACCTGCAGCTGAGCAATTTTTGCTTGTTTCTCAAAATCAGTTGTTATTTGTGGTTTTTTATCTTTGCCATTAGTATTTTTTTGAACACCAGATGACGGTATGGATAGTGCTTTTTTCCGTTCTTCAATCATTTTTTGAGCATTTAACATCATGTCTTTAATCTATTAAAAACAAAAAAAAAATTTGAACACAATCTGAATACAAAAAATAAGTAGGTACCTGTCCCATGGAAAGTGCTTCTTCTTTGACCACAATTGTATCATCTTCTTTTTTACGTTTGATATTATTTTCGTCATACTCAGTTTTAATACTACGCTTTGTAGTTGCAGGCACAGTATTGACCTTCATAGTCATTCCTTTAGCTAAGTCAAATGCCTTGTCAGTTAAGGATAATGCTTTACCCGGGTCCAACAACGAAGACCGAAGTTTATCTGTGAAAAGGTAAGACAAAATTAGGTATTATCTTTATGAATGAAGTAATAAATTGTTAAATAATTTGGTAGGTAGTTAGTAGTTAGTGTACATTTAATTTATGGTTAAAGCATTTACCTGCGGTCTTATACTTGTCGTAACCAGACGACAAGCAATGCATTAATGTGGTCACCAGAGACGGTTCTCTGAATCCAAGAAATTTAGACACGGTTTTCTCTAAATACGGCTTGATGTCCTCAACTTCTTTTCTACTAATTGACAATGCCATGTTTATTTTGTAAAATATTATCGTACCTATGGTGCAACTATAAAATAGACGGAAAATAACCAATTCCCGGCGAATAATGAAGAATAATGAAAATTGAATACTGAATAACGTAAACGTTTGTAAACGTTAAACTAGGACCTAACTCAAACCTGCGGTCGAGTACTTGGATAACAGAATGTCGGTATCACCGTGAAGAGATAAAACAATAACATGGCAAATGACACACTTATTAAGCCATGATATTACGGAAAGATGAAAATTCGGATTACTACCTTTTGTTCCATAAAGAAAGATGTACTAAAGTCTATTTGTTCGAATTGAATTAATAATAAATATTAAATATATTAATACCTAGTTAATACGTTCATCGTTTATGGTGTCCACGGACTACACGGACTAAGATATCTTGAGGTACGGTATTAGAATCTGAGTGGAACGATGAATGTATTGATTTTACAATGATGTGTGTTTTTTTTTTGTGTCTGTACTCTGTGTACACGATAAGTTTTGGTTATTAATAACTACTTAATTCATATTTGGGATTGATAAATCAAAAATAGTACGTGTTGAGCGGCCAAACATAAGTTTTACTGGCGTTTCATTTGTGGTTGAGTGTATAGTATTTTTATACATCAATAAAAATGTATTCAAATTGTGTAATATGATGAACATTTATTAAAATATTGCTTAACTATTTTTACTCCAGATTCGGCAAATTCATTTGAGTCTGGGTGGAAAGGTGCCCATGTCAAATGCCTGATACCTAAAGTGTTTTGCAATATGACTGGAATTCATCACCATTAAAACATTTTCAATTGTCAGTTGTTATTGTTCTGGGAATGCCAAAACGTGCAAATTAACTCAGACAGTTTTGTTATGACCGTTTGTGCTGTCATCGAATTTACTTGACAAACTTCTAACCACTTTGTGGTTGCATCGACAATAATTAAGAATGTTTTGTTTTTGTACGGACCTAAGAAATCGCAATGCACTCTCATCCATTGTCTTTGTGGCCATTTCCAAGGAGTTAGTACTGACTTAGGAGGATTAGGTCTCGCATTTATGCATTCATTGCAGTTTCGGGCCATATCCCCAATTTCTTTTTCTATACTAGGCCACCAGATATACGAACGAGCAATGATTTTCATACTCGACATACCAATATTACAAGAATGCAGTTCAGTTAGAATTGACTTACGAAATTTGGTTGGTATGATTACTCTATAGCCCCAAAATAAACCATCTTGTTCAGCTGTAATTTCGATTTTGTGTGTACCTACTACCTATTACAAGAGTTTAATTCGGAATTTATTGAAAAGTGATTACTCCATGAACCTGTTTTTGTAGCGTGTAATACTCTAGAGGTAATTGGATCTCTTTTCGTTTCAATTTTAATTTTGTGCCTATCTGGTGGAAATGGTGACTGTTCGTGAATAAAATTAATGTAAGCGTCATCATATTCATTAATATTATTGTTACATTGGTTTGTTTTAATGCGTGATAAAAAAATCAGCAGTATTTCCTCCTGATTTAATATACTTCATTTCAAAATCAAATTAAGAAAGAACGTATATATATATGCCCAACGTTGTATTTGTATGCGATTTGCCACATAAATTGGTATCCTTTTTTTTCTCCAAATATGTGGATTAACGGTTTGTGATCAGTAACTAATGTACATTTTCTACCGTATAAATAATCGTATAATTTTTTAACGCCAAAAATTATGGCTAGTACTTCTTTTTCGATTTGTGGAAGTTTGCATTCACTGTCTGATAAAACTCCTGATGCATATGCAATTGGTCTTTCTGAGTGGTCAGGACTCAGGATAAGTGTGCGATATGATTGTATCTAGACATCTAGTGCAAATGACGAAGAATCGACCGTGAGTTTTATGGGAAGTTTTTGGTCATAATGTGCTAACACAGGCATTTTTTTATGTTATTATATGCTTGATCACATTCTTTAAGAATTGGAAGAATTGGAGTGGCCCATTTGCTGTAGTTCACGGGAGTTAAAATCTATTAAACGATAAATTTCCGACTCTACCTTAGATTGGCTGCATACGAATTGCATGCCAAAAAAAAAAATGTCCAAATTGCATGCCGTATCTTGTAGGGGTTTGTCCGAATTGCGTGCCATCTCTTGGAGGGGTCTGTCCGAATTGCATGCCGTATCTTGTAGGGGTTTGTCCGAATTGCGTGCCATCTCTTGGAGGGGTCTGTCCGAATTGCATGCCATCTCTTGGAGGGGTCTGTCCGAATTGCATTTCATCTCTTAGAGGGCTTTGTCCGGATTGCATGCTGTACACCACACGTTTATTTACTATGGACTTAAACAACTTAAACTTTTTTTTGGACTTTCCTAATTTTTAAAAAAAAATACATGTCATTGCCGACAACAAAATAAACAAAACTAAATTTTTAATATATTATGACTATATTAACTATATAGAATATAGGTACCTAATTAATAATTATATTATTATAATTGTATTCTACCTATTATTATAATATTATTACCTACTATTATTATTATTATTATTATACTGTAACGTAATTTTTCATTGTAATATTAACCGTTTTAAAAATGCTATTATACTATTTTATTATTCAAAAAAAGATGTTTCTATATTGACATATTTTATTATTATGAATTATTATTATATATTATTTTGTTTATTTAAATTGTAATATTGTGTGCCCGAAATTTCAAAAAAAACCACCAAATTTAAAAATAATATTTTTATGATTCTTATTCACAGTGTCGCATAGGCGTGCGCACGGGGGCAGCAGAGGCAGCATATGCTGCCCCTGGACTTACTTTGGGGCCACCGGGGCCGGCAAATATTAAATAATGGGCCTTGGTAAAATTATATTTCCACAAAGGATTTTTTTTGTTTTGATAAACTATAGATAAATATTTTATATATATGCTTGTAGAAAAGTACACCTTTAGTGGCTTAGTACCTTACTGTACAACCTTTTATCCAAAAAAACAAATAACCAATACAATTTTAATTTTTATATCCAATAGTAAAAAAAGTAAAACTATGGGCAGGTTTTAATGGTGAATTTGAAAAATGGGCCGAATTAATCTCTTGCTGCCCCTGAAACCGAAGGCTGCGCACGCCTATGCAGTGTCCTCTACATATTTATATGTTTTATTGTAATGTAACAAAATCCCGATCCTCCAGTTGAAAAGTAAGTTATTAATTCGGATATACCCCTCTAAGAGATGGCATGCAATTCGGACAGACCCCTCCAAGAGACGGCATGCAATTCGGACGACCCGATTTATATTTATTTTTTTGACATGCAATTCGGATGCACCGCTTAGATTTTAGTGCTAAAGGAATTGACCTTGGCTTGAAAAACTTGGGTATTGCCCCCTTTTTAATGTTTAGCGTTATTTGGTATTTATTAAAGGTGCCAATTTAATTTTTGACTAAATGTTCGAAGTTTTTTAATATGTTCCCTATATTTTCGTCTACATTTACAGTGTTAAAAATGGGTGTATAGTTTATTATTTTTAAATCATTTCTACCAATTAATGGCGGTCCTCCGTTTTTTATTACGTAAATATACATTTTAAAAGACTTTTTCAAATATTTAGCATTTACTATTATTTTTCCTATTGGGCTTATATCATTTACAACGTAATCGCTTAGTGAAATATCGTTTGATAATAAAGTTAAATTATTTAAACTTGTATCATATAATTGTTTTGACATTACACTAAGTACAGCCTCATGTACCTATTTCAAATTTGAAATCTTTATTTTCAATTAATAAATTGATAATGTACGGTTTACTTTATTTTGCAAGTTATTTTCAATCATATTAAAAAAAGTGTCAGATAAATTGCCCGCGATATGTCTGAACGTCTGGTTTGGCTGGAACGCATAAACTGAATAATATTTTGTGAACTTCCTCACTAATTGAAGATAATAGTATAGCTCTCTTCTGGACTTCGTTACTTATTCCGTTGGCAACAAAAAAATTTGTAAGTCTTAATTATTCAAATATTGTTACCTATGGTACCTATGTCGTTTCCAGATTCAAATGTCCCCGGTGAAACTATTATATTATGGAATTGAGTTATATTTTTGTTATCCTCACTCATTTTATAAGTATTTAAATTTAATACGAGATGAGTTTAAAAATTTTCTTCGTCGCCAAGTACATTATTTTTCCATAATTATTGTTCCGACGCTTATTTAAACCAAAATATAATATTCGTACCAGTGACCAATAAAATATTATATTTTTCCAAAATATATTTGTGCCACTAACCAATACTTCTAATATTTGTTTGTTCTAACAGTTCTAATGCTCATCGTTCCAAACTATATGCTAATATTATTAACAAACAGTGAAAATTTCATGTATCTATCTCAGAATAGATAAATACCAGTTTTACCAAAGGTATACCAAATACCAAAATCAATTTTGTCGAAAACCTATATTTGCATAAAAATTCCCGTTTTCACTTAATTTTTATTTAGTTTTCCCCGGTGCTTTTGAAAACTACCAAGTATTTTTAACTTTTGACCCCCTTGAGTACCAACTAGATACACTTTCCCATCGAACAAGATATTGTTGAAGAAAATCGAAGCAATTTCACTGCCCCCAAACAGTCAATGGCGGATCCAGGGCTTCATTTTTTTTTTTTTTGGGGGGGAGGAATAGAATAGTACATAAAGTTCCAGAATTGGCTTAACACAGTAAAAAACAAAGGAGAACTACGGCAAATGCCAGTCCCCCCTCCTCATCCAACACTGCAAACAGTTCTTAGAAAAAAAAAAAAACATTTAAAAAAAAAATACACATTGTAAAATCGCTCCACTCACTCCGGCTCAGAATCTAAAATTGAACAACTGACGGAGTTTAACCACAGAATAGCTTTATATAGCAACAGGTAGTCAATGTCCAAAAAATCTACTATATAAAAGATCTCCAAGATTTAATTTATTATAAAAAATAGAAAGAGGACCTGGGAGCCCGCAGTCAAATGTTTTTTAAGAAGCAAATCAAATTTAAAAATAAATTCATATCAAATTGGCACCAGGCTGTACATTTTTGAACAATTTATACAAAATAATCAACTAGAGTTAAATTTATAAAAAAAAATTGGAAAGTAGGTAGGTATATAAAATAATTAAATCCATTGTATATTTTCTTCTCAGTTGTCACCTAGGAACAACAATGTTTATCTAATAAATTAATCTTTGATGAATACACTAAATTAATAACCTTACAGATTATATTTAGGAGTGCTTTTGTATTTATGGATACTATTAAAAAGTATTTTATTAAGTCTGTTACAGACAGTGGCATTACATCAATGGATGAAAATGATGAATCCAATGTTAATACGATTCGTAATAAGACTCAGGATAAAGAGGCAAGTATCATCATAATAATGGAAAGGACAACAAATTTATATTGTTAAAAGTTAAATTATAAAATGTTTATTATCTAGAATGAGATGATCATTGAATCGTGTTCTGAGTCTATAAACATGACAAATATTCAAGATACAAATAAGCATTTTTTAAATAAAATAAAAGTAAGGTAATGTTATATATATCTTATACGTATTTTTTTTTATAAATATTAATTATTAAGAGCTTAGAAGAAGAAAACGACCGTTTATTGTCAATAATTGAAAACAAAAATATTATAAATAAAGATAGTTTAAAATGTAATTGTAATACCATGCCGGATTTCGCAAATAAAAAAATATTACAGTTAACAGATAGGGTACATGAGCTTATGTCGGAATTACAAATAATCAAATCATCAGCATCTGATGACTATGCAAGTATATACTGTTAGTAAATAATATAATATTTTAGTATTTATCAATATTTTTAATTAACATTCTAGAAAACAAAGATTTTACAGAAATAAAACAATTGACTGATAAATATAATTTGTCGAATAAAACGATTTGCAATTACCGTAACCAGATAAGGCAATTAAAAAATGATTTGAAAATTACTCAAAATGTACTCAAACCATTCTTGGTTTATAGTGGGGGCTAATATTTGTAATTGATTTTAATTATTCTCAATTTAGGCGTTATCTAACGAAATTGGAGATCCAGCAATGATGCAAACCGTTTTATTGGGCACAGGAAAGTCAAATTATATAGGACGTGCGCAAAAAATATTGGTATTGCAGCAAAGAGTAAACGAACTGCAAGCAAAACAAAGAGATTCAAAAATAAAAGAACTGCATAATTCAACTGGTATTATTGTAATTTGTAGTTGTAATATATATATTCATAAAATGCTCTTCATAGGAAAATATTATTGGATTAGTATACATATTTTTGTTTAGCTATATATTCTACTTAAACCTTGATTTTTAGGGTTCCGTACGTTAAAACGGGACCCTATTACCAAGGCTCCGCTGTCTGTCTGCCCGTCACCAGGCTGTATCTCATGAACCATGAAAGTTAGAAAGTTGAAATTTTCACAGATTATGTATTTCTGTAGCCGCTATAACAACAGATACTAAAAATCCTAGAATATATAAAAAAAGCAGTGTTGTCAACATGTTTATATGATGGTATGGAACCCTTCGTGCGAGAGTCCGACTCGCACTTGGCCGGTTTTTTATATTTGTAGCTATTATTAATTTTATTATAGTAAAATGATGTTTTACATAATAAGTATATTGAATGTACATAACACAAGTTCAATTACACCAAACTGTTTGGCGTATAGTTAGTTTTATATTACCTATTTGTTAACTCTATATGATCCAAACTTTGTTTAATTCGTTATTTAATATTCGATGTATGCTGAATGGTGTATTTTGATGTTTTACCTATAAACTAAAAAAATTATTGAAAATCATGTAGTTAATGAAAATCAAAGGTCGAAAGGTCAACATTTTTAGAAAATTAAATTCTATAAAATTGCTATCTTAAATTATTTCAAAAATAAAAAATTACATTTTTTAAAAACTTTTTTGACCATAAAATGTAATTAAATTAAAAAATAAAATATATGTAATTCTTGGATCTGTGAGTCTAATAAAAAAACAGATTTATGATAAATGTATCATCTCATGGGATATCTTAATGAGTAAATCCTCGAGGGACACCCTGTATAGATAAGTAATACCATTTATAAATCTGTTCTAACGACTATATTTTTTCTAGTTAACACCAGAAAAATGGAGAAAGCAAGTAAAGCAATTAATGACCAAATATTAAAGGATACTCAATTAAAGGTTAGAGAGTTGGCTAAATCAGAGGAAATTTGGAAAAGTCGAAGTAAGGCATTGGATGTAGAAATTACTGTTTTGAGAGTGCAAATACAAAAATTGTTATCAAAGTCTGAATTTGATAACCAACTTATTGATCAATTAAAAGTATTGTTAACATATTATTATATTAACATAAATATTATATATGTATTACTATTTGTTTTATACATTTATAGGCTGAGTTAAGTAATAATAATAAGCAACGGCTTAAAACAAAAGACTCTGTAACAAAACTAGAAGAATCAATTACATTACTTCAGTCAAAAAATGAAAAAGTCTGCTTAAATATACATTAAGAGTTAATATGATTTTATAAATTAAAAAAAATGATTATAGGCAGCAAAAATAATTGAACAACAGACATCTGATTTGAAAGATAGAGATATGAGAATATCTCATTTAGAATCTAAAATATTAAACATTAATGAAACAATTCAGTAAGTAATAATAGTATAATAATAATATTAATGATATTATGATAATTCATAAAGTAGCAAATACTAAATACTTTACAGGGATCGTAATATGCGTTCAATAGATTTTACAGATCCTAAAGAAATTTTTATTAAGGTAATGAACTAATAATTAAATATTAATTTATAATATTATTTAGAGGTTTTAATATAGTTTTACTATATAGAAATTGAATGGATTTGAAAACCAACAACTAGTGGACCTATTACGCATTGCTCACAATAAAATTTGTGAACATGTTCTAGTTGCTATTGATTTTAAAGTAAGTACAGCGTAATTATATTTTTTATGATATTAACAGAATAACTTATTTATAAGAATAAATACTTAATGGAAAAACAAAAGTTACAAAAATTTGAATCAAAGATGGGATGCTTAAGTTCATCATTCAAGCAAAGATCAAATAGTATTTCATACCATTTGAAAAATGAATTAAATCCAAATGAAAAACTAATAGAATTACAAAATAAGTATATAATCAATTTAATAATATAATAGTTTATCTACATTAATAATAATTGAGATTATAATAAATTATATTTTATAACATTCAGACTGGAACTGGTTGAAGAAGAGCGTGCTGCTTTTAAAGAAAGATTGGATACTCTTATAATGTTGAATAAAGACAATGTACATACGTTTACCCGATCATTAAACAATATGAAACAGCAGTTAATACAGTAAATAAAATACTGAACTGAATCATTTATGTTTAATATAGTTCATGCTTCTTTGTATGGTTAATCATTTTTAATAAAATCCACTAATTCATAAGAAATACAATTCTTTGCAAAAATACGCCTGCGGTTACCACCACAAATATCCACATGAAACAGTAAGGTTATCTATTATATTTTGATAGATATTGAAAGTTAAAATTCCTCAAAGTTTAACTTGTCTGAAATTTGGAGAAATCAATATTTTGAGATATTATTACTAGGGCTCGGATTTCAATGCATTTGCATTTTTTTTGGGGATATCTTACGCGATGCTTTCCAAGCTACAAATATGTTTCAATTACTTCGCAATCTAACCATAATAATTTTTTGGGGCACTTTTTGACGGTTTTAATGCATTTTTTAATTTTTTAGTACATTTTTGACCTATTTGTCGTATTATGACTAAAAAAATTGACCTCATTGAAATATAAGAACTACATAGTAATATAGTACTACGTAATAAAAATTATTTTCATTTTGAACTATTTTAACTAATTTAACATCAAGTTTTCCGGTTTTTACAACCTTTATGTCACACCATCGAATTAGCTGATATCGAGTATCGGAAGAAATACGGGGTCAATTTTCAGAAGTGGATCAGTTTATTTCAAATGCAAAGAAAATTTTCTTAAAAGCGCCATCCAGAGTGGATACATTTAAAACTATGGCTCCTGGTATTCCTTTGCCCCCTCAACCTATAGTGACACGATGGGATACATGGTTAACTGCAGCATTATATTATTGTGAGCACTTTCCGATTATTGAAGCCATTATAAACCAATTTGATAAAGGAGATGCAATTTCAATTGTGAAATGTCAACAATTACTTAGTGGAGATATAAATTTAAAGAAAAAATTAATATACATTAAATCAAACTTTAGTAACCTTTCAGTTGCGATAACTAAACTAGAAACATCAGGATTAGCTTTAACAGAGTCTATAAATATTGTAGCTACGATTAAAAATATTATAAGAAAATCACCAAGTCAAATTGGAATGAACGTAAATTTAAAATTTGACGTTTTAAAGAAAAATAAAGGCTTTAACCAATTAAAAAAAATATGTCAAATAATAGAAGGAGAAGAAGATATTAATCCAGAAAATATTATTCCAGAAGACTTAACACCTAACGATCTGACATTTTTCAAGTTTGCTCCTATCACCTCAGTTGATGTAGAGAGGTCATTTTCAAGATATAAAAACTTATTGGCAGACAACCGTCGATTATTTAAATTCCACAACATTAAAGAAATTCTTATTGTACAATGCAATGCAAATATAATTTAATTTTTAATTTTAATTTTTTTTGTACATTGTAATATAATTTATTAATTTATAATTTATAATTTTTATTATAATTTTATTTGTTCCTCATTTTTTAATAATAACTAAATTTGAATTTATTTAATCAATAATGCTTTTTTTTGTTGATATTTTTAGGGCATTTTTTAGAGTTTTTAGGTAATAAATGCATTTTTTTGATATTTTTAGGGCATTTAAATCCGAGCCCTAATTATCACTAATTTAATAAACAAAAGCAGCTTATTTATTATATGTATTACTTTTGCATTATCATAAATTATTATAATTATGTAACTCAGATATTAGTATTTATTAAAAAGTAAAACTAATCTTATAAATCAAGTTTAAAATATAACATTAAATACATTGCTAATTGAACACAAATTTGATACAAATATAATAAAATACACAATCTCTGACAATAAATAATAACATCAACATTATAACATTATTTTGAGTTCAGTCTTTTTTACTTACATATTAACTATCCTTGTTATTATACTCTTCAAAGTCTATAGAAGAGTTATTTTCAGATTGTTCAATAATAGAGTCTTCAGGTGTGATTTGTAATGAAGGTAATAATTTAACAATTCTGCTTTCCATTGAATTTAGAAATGGTGAATCATTAAACTCCGGCAAACTAATAAATTTTAAGAATAATTGTAAAATCTGCGGAGGTGTAAGATCACCAAACTGAGTAAATATTGTATATCCTTGGGCAATAAAATAAGGTCCACAACCAGGAATCCACTGCCTAAAAGGAAAAATAATCAACAAATTATGATTACCTACTTGAAAATATAATAGTAATCTATTATAGGTATACACTTACTCTAACATTGGTATTACAAAATTTTTACGGCTTAGTGTATGATGCTTGACAAAGTACCAATATGGTTTTAATAAATCTTCTGTTAAGCCTTCTGAGTTTAAAATCTCTCGACGGCCTACAACTTTTGCTAAGACCATATACTTATCATCTGCTTCTTTTAACTAAAAATTAAATTAAATTAAAATTAATATAATACTCAATTTTTTTGATTAATTTTTAGATAGTGAATATTATTTTTTTGCTGACCTCTTTAAAACGGACATTTTTACTAGCAGATTTTGAAACATGTGGAGGATAAAATGCTTTTCTTGGATAAGTTTTTAGTGACTCTATATCAAAGATACTTTGAAATAGAATTGTTTGTGTTTTATAATATTTGTTATCAATAATTGGTTTACAAGAATATCTCTAAAAATAAAAATACACAACAATATTAGATAATATAATGTTAAAAAAGCAGCTATAAAAATAGAATTCAATAAAGATTAATTTCAATGTCTTACCTTAAATACTGATGGTGAAAGTAATAAATAAAATTCTGGTCGACCATAGGCCATCAATCCAGTTTGAAATATAAAACTATAGATCAAATAATTCATGAACTTCTTATTTGGTAATGAGGCAATTATTTTAAGCGACGGTTCTATAAATATTAATTATTTTTAATTTGTGCCTTAAAAGTTTATAGAAGTTAAAAAAAAATCATATACTTTCTAGGTTCCATGGTTGTTGTGGTGTACCAATACTTGACAGAAATTTAGAAACTCTGTCTCCTCGATCCATCCGATCTTGAAATCCAAACTTCCACAACAAGAGAAAATTCCCTTGGTTGATTTTAATCCTGTCACCATACTTTGAATGAACTGCCTATAATCAAAGTATTATATTAAATATTTTGAATAAATAAAATAGGTAGACATTATAAAAAAAAAAATGTAACACTAACCATTAAAAATTCTTTGAACACATTATAATTATTTTCATATACGCATATATTGTAATTTGTTTTTTCCAATAAATGTTGAGTAATTAAACACGGACCAGGGTTGGCTTCAATTATTTCTATTTTTTTGTTACCGTACTTTTTAGTCAAGTGTTCAGATACTGTGTTTGATATATCTTCTAAACAAATTTACAAAATAAATAATAAAAACATAAAAAATATATGCATCTATATATATAATATCAATTAAATTAATATCATTTATATTATGTTTTTATTTACTTGCTACATCATTACAATACACGAACATGCTCTCTGGATACTTGAGTTTTTTAAAAGAACTTAAATTTTCTTTTATATTTGGTACTTTTAATGTCGTTGCTGTTGAGGAATAATACCGTTTGCGCCAAGTCCATTTAAAAAAGGACTTAGACGAAATCCAAACATTCTTTTTTAAATTCATATTTTTATTTATAGTAAATGTACATAACTGTAGTAATAGAATAATCCTATAATTAATGATCTAATAATTATTCTGTGCTGCAGTTTATTTCAATTTTAAAATTAATAAGTTTGGAAAAAGGAATTGAGTAATAACAAATAAATAATAATTAATAACTATAAAAAAAAAAACGTGCTTACTTTTATCAATTTATCATATCTCGATATCCATAAATGAAATTAATCTATTCTGTGCTATTATCACGATTGAAGATAGTACTATCTGGCTATTATCAACATATTGTTAACAACAAAAGAAGTTGCCGATGCAGCCATGCGGGATAAGCACGGACGACGGACCACAACGTCCACAACCATAGAACAACTGTCTACCTACTACACGTGTATTTAAAATTTAATGCATTTGTTATTACTTATTAGTTAATCGTGGTTATTAGTGAACTTGCATTCAGCAGAATTGGATTTTCTTGTCGTTTCGCTTTGCTTTCTAAAAAGGAATTCCCCGTTGGACTTGAAAATAGCCACTCCGTAATTGCATAAAATGAATTCGCTAGTCGCAACGTTAAAGGTCTTACGATAAAAACATTTTCACGACTATACGGTTGTATATTATAATTGAAATTTTATATTTTCATAGGCCGACGAAGCAGTTAACTGGTTTCAGAAACGTTTGAACAATGCTGTTAATTATGGACTTTCTTCTGAAGAATCCAATATGTTTGGTAAAAATTAAAAATTAACTACCATAATAAAATAATGACCTAATGGATTATAGTTAACGTTCGTCAAATAATAATCTCGGTGCCTTAAATATCAAAATGTCCAATTTCAAATATTTTATATTGAAAATATTAATAGTGAGATAGATAGGGATGGGCTAGATACTCAAAAAAAGTATCATGATACATGGTACATGCATTTAGTGTATCAAGATACAAGATACCTATATCAAAAATACATAATACTTTTATATTTCCAATCAAATTTTATTAGCTATTAAACGTAAAACGTTAATACATAATATTATTATATATGCGGGCACCTTAATTTAATTCTATGTCTATCAAATTATCTTAAATTTATAAGATTGTGTATTGATATTGCCCAACCCTGAATATAGATAGAAAGTAATAATAGTTGGATCACAAATATTATAATTGTTGTCTAAACCAATTTAGATACGGTTATTATAGTTGTATGCAATGTTAATGTAGGTTATATACTTTTTTCAGACATTTTTATTACATCAACTTTGGCTGATGTTGACATAAAAAAGCAGATAATCAATATAGTACTTCCAACATTTTTTGATAACTTAATATCAAGGAAAGTCAATAAATCGGTAAGAATTCTAAATTATTTATGTTATTACAATCGCTAGCATTGACTTATATTTTATTTAAATATTAATTCCTATATCTTAAATGGACTTGCTTTTGATTTCTTATACTATCTAATTGTAGATTAAAACATATCAATGATTAATATACTATAATTTGTTTGTATAGACTATAGATGCACAAGCCACTCTAATAAGATTGTTTATTAAATATTATGGAGGAACATGCAATCAGTTTAAGGTATCATTTTATTTATCCATTTGTTTTTGATAACTTAACTAGCTTACTTAATGTATTCGTACAAATATGTTGTTATAGAATGCATTAGATAAATTTACAACTAAAGCACTAAGCGAGTGTTTTAATGAAGATACTATTGTTTTCAAAGTGACAAAATATCTTGCTTTATATCCTCAATGTGGTGGTCGTGGGCAACAAGGTATACATCATGCTGAAGCTTGGACTTGTCAATTTAATGATTATTTATACTCTGCCAATTATTTTTTGAACCAACTGTATACTAATGTTAATGTAAGAAACATGTAATTAATTAATTTGCCAAATTTAAATACGTCTTGTAACTCTATTCATTGTTTTTCTTCAGTTCTTCTTTGGAACAGATGTGACCGATAATTATGAAGGAAAATTTGATGTGTCAATTTTTAAATTATCTGAACTTACAAAAATGACTCCTAAAGAACGTTATGAAAAGTTGACATCAATATTTATATTTTTCAATACAGCAATTCAATCAATGTTGTTGTAAGAATACATCTCAGTGGATACATACACATTTACATAATTATAATTTATAATACAGATTAAAAGTGTAATAATATTTATAGGTCCATGTTTTCTACTGTAAAACATTTTGATTCTAACAAAGTTATTCAATTTGCTCTCTGTACTTTATCTGTTACTTCGGAAAAACTTAACGCTACAATGATTACTGAAGATGTAATTGCTTTAGATTCTGTTTTATGGAAATTACACTCTTCTGCCATCAAAACAATATCAGCTCTTATTAAATGGTATACATTATCTAATTTATGTTTAAAAGTATATTTTTTTTTCTTGTAGATTCATTGTTTTTAAACTTAATTGCAAAATAATAAATTATGACATACATTTTACAGTTGTGGAAGGATTTTAATACCTCAAGGAACATTAATTTGTCGTATTTTAATACAATCCTTAAACATGACACATTTTAATTCATCAAATGCTCAATATGGTACCACAAGATCTAAATTGTAAGTTTTATTTTTGTGTATCTTCTTAGTATTAATGTTATAATTACTGACAATGTTTTATTTAATTTGTATTAAGGCAACAGCGTGTGTTAACATATCAAGTTCTATGCTCGTGGCTAGCTGTGGCTGGGTCACAGAGTTCACTCGAATTGTTCAGTGAAAGCCTTACTTCTGGGATTTTGTTTGATATCAAATTTGATAAACCAATTCTAAATTTAGTTGTAAGTTTGTTAAATAAATGGTTATTTAATATTTTATTAATACTATTAAAATATTATATTTAATACTATACATTTCATTGAAGGTTGATAAACAAACAGGTAACAAAAAAAGAAAGAGTGGGGCTCTAAATCAAAAAATTATTAATCAACGTGATACAATTGTTATGCATGATTATCTTGCGAATAAAACTGTGTGTAATGAAGCTCATAAAACACTTCAATTATTTTTAAACACCTTGTCTTCAAATTTGAAAGTTCAACAATTCAAAGTATGTTAAATATTTATTTTTAAATAATTGTTTTACAAAAATGTTAACATATATTTTTTAGATTTTTCAAAGTACAATCATGGGTTTGCTATTAGAAATTATTAAATGCCAACGACCAAATGATTATCCTCTACCGTATTATGACGATTTGTGTCGTTTTAACTTGTATAAATCATTATTAGCTTTGATTATATCACCACATCCACAATGTATTACACATACATCTGTAGCATTACGTGTTTTTACTTTTGGTATAACTGATCGTAATGAAAAAGTAAGTTACCATTAGACATTTTTAAAATGACAGTGATATCTTATATTTATGTATCATGTATTACTATAAATTTTTTCATTACTTTGTTACTCATGTTTCTGATTTTGTTATTCAGGTAAAAGAAGTTTGTAGATCATCATTAAGCGAGCTTGAACATATTATCCGTCCACGTAATGATACATTATTTTTCCCTCTTGAAAATGAAATAGAAATTCCGCCATGCACTCAAAGCACTGTACCAGAAAATAAAACTCATTTTTTAAATGAAATAGTTGAAGATTTGACTGTACCCATTCAAGTAAAAGAATTAAAAAATGTTCAACCAAATAAAATTTCACAATCTACTCAAAGTAATATATCAGAGAACAAAACTGAAATAATAAATGAAATAGTGGAAGACTCTACTATACCCGTTAAAGGAAAAGAAGTTAAAATTATTAATACTGAGAATGTCCAGCCTAATACAATTCCGCAATCTGTTCAAAACACTATCCCAGAAAACAAAACTAATATTTTCAATAAAATCGTTAAAGATTTAACTTCACCCATTGAAGTAAAGACATTGTTAACACAGTTAGACAATGTTAATACTGAAAATGTTCACCCAAATATTGTAATAGAATCTATGGATGCTGATAACAGTATGGATTCAAGCTCAGTTGACGAATCATTAATAATTAACAAAGATTCGGAAGATGAAGATTATACAGATATGCTGAATGACTTTATAGAGAGTGATTAAGAATGTAAACATCACTTTTATGACTCAAAATAAATTTTAAACATTTTATACTTGGTACTTGACAATATTTTATCACACCTTATAATCAAATATATATATTATACCATCACAGAATAGAATACCATCATAACCTCCAGCAAAAACATTGATTTTTAGGTGTTGTCATTATCTCATTCTATTTGATATTTAGTATTTTAGTGTCATATTTTTATTTGTATATATTTCAAATTTCAGTGACATTATAGTTTGTAACAACAATTTTAGTTAAATAATTATAGTGTATTCTTGATGATCTTGGTTCCCTCAGTAATCCATAAAAATTAAAAAGTTACAATCAGATAATTTATCTTCCAATAGTATTTTTGTAATTTAAATTTTCAACCAGAATACACTTATCCGTGATAAATTTATAATATGTATAAGTATAAATTGGATCTTTTCATGATAACTAATTGCTAAACTCTTAGGTATGCAATTTAGTTGCTTGTATCAGAACGGAATTTCTGAAAAATTGTTGTAGGTTCTCTTATAAGTTGTATTTTTATATTTTTACTATTTTAATGTTGGTGTTTTTGATTCTAAAAGTGAATTTTAACGGGTATTTTGATAATCTAGGCTCTAGCAGTATTATGGTATACATGGCTCGTTATATGTACAGTATTATAATACTATAAAAGAAAACACCAGAGAGATTAGTAGAAAATCAATAGTCAATAATATAAAACAATAATTTAGATATTATATTTGTTTTTGTTTATATTAAATATAATATTTTTTTATTACAACTGTAGTTGTTTCAGTTCAGCTATTAAACCATTTTCAAGTTTTAATCTAGCCATTTGATTGTTATCCAATTCTTTACCTGAAGATTGTAAAGTTTTGAAACGATTTATGCTTTTTAAATCCTGAAAGACAAATACAGAAGTATTATTTAATAATTACAATGTCTAATGAATAATAAAATTATTAATAATTGTTATACAACATACAGATTGAATTTTTTTAATTCTTAATTGTTTTTCGTTATCTTTGGGTACATCAATTATTTTTACAGCATTTTGTTTATCATCGTTTGAGTCTTCTACATCCTGCATTTGCTTTGCTTGTCGTTTAGCTTCACGTTTCTTTTTCATTTTTAAATAAGCTTTTGATTGGTTTTCTAAAAATTTTATTAGATATTTTGTAGATTATTACTGTTAATTAATCATAATTATTAATTATAATTTAACTGAAGTACACTGAATGTTTCAAATTGTAGATTTAATAAAAAAATGTTTTGTTCTTTTATATTAAATTTTGTGTGTTATCACTTATCACTAAAGACAGGATTCATATTCTCTTAAGATACCCAATAGTGAGGTCTTAATTAGGTATTAAAAGTTGCGTATTATACCTAATGAAATACTATTGCACTTTAGTAAGAGTAGGAAATAGGAATATAATATAAATATAACATTATAATATTAAAACATAAAAATAAAATTTGGATATTTGAATATTTGATAAACGTATAAGTTGATCTTATCAGTAGATATACATACCACAGAATTTATTCTGTGTACATACCTTGATGACACTGCGTGTTTTCTTTTTATCAAAATGATAAAAAATATAAATTGTAAATGTTCAAAAAAAATTTTTCTGGGTACCATAATATTAAAATTAAAAATTAATACAAATTTTTTTCTCACAATTTACGAAATATTCCAAAATATGCTAAATGGGTTAAATATTCTCAAATATGCAAAAAAAACTTTTTTGTTCGCATTCAGAATTTAACGAATCGTCCACATCTTTTACTCTCATAACACTGCATAGTCTGCACAGACCCAGTAAAAACATATAAATCCGGTCTTTAGTTATCACTTATTACATTAAAAACAAAAAATTAACCAAATTTCTTAAGAGGACGTCGCACTCGCATATGTTGTCTCCGTCTTACACACGTATGGCATACCAAATTTTTGTTCTCTCAGACTAGTTTAAATAAGGTGCTGTCAGTTTTGATATAGAAGTGAAATGATCTACTATCAGACTTTTAAGTAACAACATAATCTGTGTTCTCTCGTTGGTTTTTTAAGATATTTTAATTTTTAAGTGAGATATGTGTAAGTAAAACATTAATATTTGAAAATGCTCATAATTCACCTAAAAATTAAAATATTGTAAAAATCCAACAAGAGAACACAGATAATATTGTTACCTGGAAGTTTGATAATATCACTCTAAATATCAAAACTATCAGCACACTATGGAAACTGATAAAAGAAAATTTGCTATATTGTGAGGGTGTAAGATTGAGACATCAAATACGGGTGCGACGTCCTTTTAACATGATTACACAGTAAATAAAATCATACTTGTTTCTAATGATGAATCTTCGTGTAAGCTAGTGGGTTTAAAATCAGAATTTCGGGCATGCGGTGGTCGATAAACTTGTTTAGAAGCTGCAAGTTAGAAAAACAAAAAGGAAATAGATTTAATAATAAGGTTAATATGTATATAAGTATTTACAAATCTTACAATAATGATTAAAATAACTTACCAATTGGTTGACTAGAAGCAATTCCTTCAACAGCTTTGAAAACTATGTTGGGTGTTTTAAAAGTACCTTGAGGATAATTTTGCCAAACAACTTGATATAGTTCATCTTTTCCCCAAGGTTTTTCATGTAGTAATGCACCACTATAGTGCCAAATTTTATAGCCATTACTTACTTTAAGTCGTGGTGCAGTTGTAGCTGTTACAAAATGTTTACCATCCGGAGACCATTGAAGAAATGTAGTATCTGGTATTTCTATTTTTTTAATCTTTTTCTTGCCATTTATGTCCCATAACTCTGCATTTCCTTGCACGTTACCAAACCCAGCTAAGAGAAGAAGTATTTAAAGAGTTAAAGAAATTTATATATATATCTACATACTTATTTTTTTTTAAATTTAAATTTAATAATCATATTTCGATATATAAAGGATATTATTCCCAAATGGGTTGTAGTAGACTGCATTAAATGTTCCAGTTCCAAATTCTATTACTGGGTCACATTTTAAATTATATAAAGTTGCCTTTGCTGGCATAAAACCATAGATAACACAGAATTCATTTGAAGATGGACTCCAGGCAGCATTATATAAAGGTCCTTCTTTATCTAAATTGTAGAAAATCAAAATTAATACATTTTTAAAAATGTTTAAATGTAAAATATATGATTTTAAATTACAACAAAAATGTAATATTAAATTACTTACTCACTATAACCTGAGAAGTGTCTCCTTTTGAAGTTATCAGATGTAGACCTTGTTTACCATAATACGATGCTCCTGTTTTGTCTACATCGGTACTTGTTAACATTAAGGATGCTGTTCCTTTCTGGTTCCAAAATATTTCTACTCTATCAGCCTAAATATTTACAAATTATGAATTATGAATATAAATATTATTAAGTATAATCTTAATCATTAACTTCTTGAAGAATAAATAAAAAAATAGTCATACCTGAAAAAAACTTTTATTGGCAACAATTGTACTAAAATCTGGATATTGAAATAGACGACCATTTGAAGGACCAGTTTTAGCTAAAATAACATATTTTAAATGTTGTTATAAATTGTGTATCATTAGAATAGATAGATTTACTTAATAATTATTAAAATAACCAACCTATCAATTTAAAACCCACATTATTATTTTTAATATTGGGTTTTAGGGTCTTTTGTTAGCATGTGTTGTCTCTGTCTTACAAGTGCATAATATACCAAATTCTAAGCTCAGCAGAACACGTGTAGCTCCGTTGGTTTAAAAATTAGAGTGAATTGACCTCTTATAAAATCTAAAAGTAAAATTATTATCTAGGGCTTTTTATTATATTTCAATTTTGAAGCTAGCTATTATTTTAAAATTGCAAATTGTTTGTACATCTTAAAGTATTCATAATTAGCTTAAAAATTAAAATATAATAAAAAGCTCATGAGGTTGTCTAGGTAATAAAATTATCTTTAGATTTTATAAGAGGTCAATTTACTCTAATTATTAAATTGACGGAGCTACATGTCTTTTGCTGAGAGTAAAATGTGCTATATTATGCACTTGTAAGGCGGAGAAAACACATCCTCTTAAGGGAATTCTGCCCAGTGATTTTCTGTCTTTGTCTAATAGACGAGTGACGTACCAATTGATATGGAAAAGCAATAAGAATTCTGAAAACAGGCTTTCCCACATTTTTGATATTATCTCTCAAATTCCTAAAAATGTTATATTAAAAAGGTGGGCAAGTGGGTGTCGCTCTGCTGTACAGTAGGTTACAAGTGGGTCATTGTATAATGGATGGTATTAAATTTGAATTCAATGATATAATATCATTGTATAAGAAAAACGATTCTGAGCGGTGACGGTATGTCCTTCTAGGTATAAGACATATTATATACATATCTATGGTATTAAAAAAAATTGACCTATAATGAATTCCAAATTAATCATATCACAATATCCATTAGGTACGCGTTATACACCAACAACAAACCCTGATACTATCATAGATATATATAGTAGATTACTTTAGAAATTTCAAGTACCCACGAATAATATTATACAATCACAACAAAATAACTAAAATCGTAATTCTTGGTTTAAATATGAAATTTTGTCTAAATTTGAAATTAAAATGTCTGTACAAAATAAGTGTGTTTATATATTTTTTAGATTTTTTGGTTACAGTATGAATTATTTAAGAGAATCTTTGTTTTAAATTTTCAACTCTTAGTTATAAAACTGAACATTTTATAATTTTTTAATTCCAACGATTGATAATTTTCGAGATTTTGATAAATTTTGTCAAAATTCCAACTTTAAATGCTTATAAAAAAAAATCGTGCCTATGTATTTTTCAAATTTTTCAACTGATATTGTAACAATATATAAGAAAGCTTGTATTAAATTTTCAGACTTTTTGGCCCACCAAATAAAATTTTATTGACAATTATAAAAAAAAAAATTGAAAACTGAAAATGTCCGTAAACAGCTCAAAAAGAGTCAAAATATTTTCAAAATTGTATGGTGTATAAGAAATGCTAATATAAACATTCAGTGAAATTTTCAAGTATCTACAGTTATTCGTTTTTGAATTACAACAAAATAAGGAAATCGCTACATGATAAATCGAGTGAAAATCCAATGTTGTAAAAATTTGAATTTCAAACGCTCATAAAAATTTAATTTGACTGTCCGGTAGAGATTTTTTTATTGATAAAGGTAGATAATCTTATAAGGAATCTTGTGTTTCATTTTCAAATCTTAGATTTAAAAAGAAAAATTTTTACGAATTCTTAACTCAAAATAATTTGCTAATTTTCGTGATTTTTCCATATTTTGTCAATTTTTGAACTTTAAATGCTTATAAAAAAAAATTGTGACTAAGGATTTTTAATATTTTTCATCTGCCTTTGAAACAACATATTAGGAGCCTTCTATTAAATTTTCAAGCTTTCGCAACCAACAAATAAAATTTTATTGATATTTTTAGAAAAAAAACTAAAAAAAAATGGAAAATGAAAATGTCCCTAAACAGTTCAAAATAAATCAAAATATTTTGAAAATGTTATCGTGTATAGAAAATGCAAATATTAACAACCAGTGAAAATTTCATGTATATACGTTCATTTGTTTTAGAGTTACACCAATAACCAAAATCGATTTTTTGGAAAACCAATTTTGGGTAAAAATTCCCGTTTTTCCTTAATTTTTATGTTGTTTTTTCCCGGCGCTTGTGAAAACTACTGGGAAATGTTTACTTTTGACCCCCCAAAGTACCAACTAGATTCACTTTCCTATCAGAAAAGGTACTATTGAAGAAAATCGAAGCACTTTTACTGTCCTAAAACGTGATGACAGACACAAAAATATAAAAATATAAATAAAAAAGGTGGGCAAGTGGGTGTCGCTCTGCTGTACAGTAGGTTACAAGTGGGTCACTGTATAATGGATGGTATTAAATTTGAATTCAATGATATAATATCATTGTATAAGAAAAACGATTCTGAGCGGTGATGGTATGTCAGTCTATGTATAAGACATATTATATACATATCTATGGTATTAAACAAAAAATTGACCTATAATAGGTACCTATAATAAATTCCAAATTAATCATATCACAATATCCATTAGATACTTATAACGCGTTATACATCAACAAAAACCGTGATACTATCATAGATATATAATAGTACACTTTAGAAGTTTCAAGTACCCACGAATAGTATTATTCAATCACAACAAAATAACTAAAATCGTAATTCTTGGTTTAAATATGAAATTTTGTCTAAATTTGAAATTAAAATGTCTGTAAAAAATAAGTGTGTTTATATATTTTTTAGATTTTTTGGTTACAGTATGAATTATTTAAGAGAATCTTTGTTTTAAATTTTCAACTCTTAGTTATAAAAACTGAACATTTTATAATTTTTTAATTCCAACGATTGATAATTTTCGAGATTTTGATAAATTTTGTCAAAATTCCAACTTTAAATGCTTATAAAAAAAAATCGTGCCTATGTATTTTTAATATTTTTCAACTGATATTGTAACAATATATCAGGAGCCTTGTATTAAATTTTTATACTTTTTGGCCCAACAGATAAAACTTTATTGATATTTATAGAAAAAAAAACTAAAAAAAATTGAAAGCCGTAAATGTCCATAAACAGCTCAAAAAGAGTCAAAATATTTTCAAAATTGTATGGTGTATATGAAATGCTAATATAAACATTCAGTGAAATTTTCATGTATCTACAGTTATTCGTTTTTGAATTACAACAAAATAAGGAAATCGCTACATGAGAAATCGAGTGAAAATCCAATGTTGTAAAAATTTGAATTTCAAACGCTCATAAAAATTTAATTTGACTGTCCGGTAGAGATTTTTTTATTTATAAAGGTAGATAATCTTATAAGGAATCTTGTGTTTCATTTTCAAATCTTAGATTTAAAAAGAAAAATTTTTACGAATTCTTAACTCAAAATAATTTGCTAATTTTCGTGATTTTTCCATATTTTGTCAATTTTTGAACTTTAAATGCTTATAAAAAAAAATTGTGACTAAGGATTTTTAATATTTTTCATCTGCCTTTGAAACAACATATTAGGAGCCTTCTATTAAATTTTCAAGCTTTCGCAACCAATAAATAAAATTTTATTGATATTTTTAGAAAAAAAACTAAAAAAAAATGGAAAATGAAAATGTCCCTAAACAGTTCAAAATAAATCAAAATATTTTGAAAATGTTATCGTGTATAGAAAATGCAAATATAAACAACCAGTGAAAATTTCATGTATATACGTTCATTTGTTTTAGAGTTACACCAATAACCAAAATCGATTTTTTGGAAAACCAATTTTGCGTAAAAATTCTCGTTTTTCCTTAATTTTTATGTTGTTTTTTCCCGGCGCTTGTGAAAACTACTGGGAAATTTATACTTTTGACCCCCCAAAGTACCAACTAGATTCACTTTCCTATCAGAAAAGCTACTGATGAAGAAAATCCAAGCACTTTTACTGTCCTAAAACGTGATGACAGACACAAAAATATAAATAAAAATATAAAAATATAAAAATATAAAAATATAAAAACATACATCATTGTAAAACCAATACATTCATCGCTCCGCTCAGAATCTAAAATATAAATAAAAATATAAAAACATACATCATTGTAAAACCAATACATTCATCGCTCCGCTCAGAATCTAAAAAAGATTAATATAAAAATTGACATATTTTTTTTTTTTTAAGAAGTTGAAATCAAAAAATCAAAAATATGAGAAAGTTGATTTCAAGTAGACTTGATTACAAATTTAAATCTATGCTTAGAATTTTTATCACTTCGTTAGATCAATTGGTATGTTTGGCAAAGAACCCATCTAATATCCTATGTTGAGTGTATGTTAGGCATAGACAGAAAATCACCGGGTAGAATCCCCTTAAGAAGACGTCACACCTGCAAGTGTTTTATTCTTCTCACACACGTACGACATAGACAAAACACATTTACGCAGTCTAAATAGAACTAGCTCAATTTTTGTGTTAATATAAAAACACCTGTTACAAAATTAAAAGATGACAATATTTTAGAGGGCAAGACATTGTTTTTTTAAAAATTTAAATTTTGAAAAGTTAAAGGTATTTTAAAAATGTTGAAATTGTTGCTATTTCTAAACCATATAATGAACAATATATTGGATATAATGGAAAAAACGCAACAACTTGCCCTCAGAAATATTGTCACAATTCAATTTTATAATAGGTATTTTTACTCTTGAACCAAAATTGATTGAGTTCTACTGAGACTGCGTAAACGCGTTTTGCCTATGTCATACGTGCGTAAGACAGAGAAAACACATGCGGATATGGAGTCCTCTTAATATAATTTAAGTTAAAATATGTTAACTGGTCCCCCAATATATCTTTACTCAGACTGAAATTTGATAATACAAAATAATTAACTGCATACTCAGTACATATAAATCTTATTTCAGTTTGTATGAGACTGGACTATAATTGTATTACATTAGTTGGATGTTAAGTTTTTGGTTGTAGTGTTGTGTTGTACATATTATTTTAATTAATTGCATTAACAAAATTTCAAAAAATATAATTACTAATTACTAATTAATTAATACATATTATTATATTATAATATATTAATATACATTATATTATATTACTAATTATTTAAGTACCTGGAATAAAGCAAAGAATATTAAGTGGTTGATTTCCTGGAGATATTGAATAATTATTGAGTTTAAGTCCTTTAATTCTATGTACAATATTATCAAAATTAGAATTTTCGTAAAATAATACATCGCCATTCAAAAACCGAGCACAAATTTTTTCATCCGAAGACCACTGTGGAGTCCTATAAAAGACAAAATATATAATATTATTTTATTCATTTTGCATGGATACATAAATAAATATTTATATTTTCAAAATGTTAAAAACTACTATGATAATCATAATATATTTTTACCAAAGTTTATAATCTCTGTATTCTAAACTTTTCACTAGTTGTCCATCAGCCGTTTTTATAATGTGCACATTAGGACTGCCTTTTGGATTACTTGGTGTTGCTATAAATATTGAATAAATACAGTTATATTAGGTATATTCATATAAATATAGATAAATTAAAAAGACATCATGCCAATGTTAGATATCTGACTGGAATGTTGAACAGACAAAAACACTGGTAAGTGGTCACCTCTCTATTTTTTTGATTGAAATGATATTTTAGAGGTAACTTAAAATATTTTATTTGTAAGGTATCTCAAAAATGTATGATACATATTCACCAACTTAATTTGCTTTATTCTCTGTGTAATAGCTAGAGATAATAACATTGGTTTGATATCCCCTTATAAAATCACTTATTATTTTGTGGTAGCCTGGTCTAGGGAATAATAAGAACTCAAACCTCATCACCACAAAATAATGAGTATACTGCTTATAAATATATAATTTTCTATTTACTCATAAATGGCTCATAAACGATCAAAAAAGTTCCTTTACAGCTATATGCTAATTGTGCGGCTTTTGGATAGTCAACTTCAGCAATAGTCTTCCAATCAGAAGTTTTAACAATTACAACCCTTACAAAAAATAAGTGGTCAGTACATTTTTTAAAAAATATCAGTCTAAAACTTACTTGGAATTATTAATCCAAGCAAAATGTTTTCCATTCGGACTGAACAACATAAACTTGCATGTCGATGAGACATCCGATGGAAATTTAGAGACTAGATCATATGGCGATTCACTCTGATACAGTGTCAAACCTGTAGAGCCTCGGACTAAAATATATGGAAAAAATTTAATTACAATTCTACACACATAATGATATTATATAATTAAGAATTACCTGCTATATTAGGAATAGCCATGTTAATTTAAATTTGAAATATGAACTTTTGATAAATATCAATTACAAAAATAGTTCAATTACAGAATATATGAAAGCTCTCAGATAATCATTATCAAAAATCGCACTCATAACATGATAAAAACGAATGAAATAATATTAAATTATACAAGAAAAAAAAATTAAAAAAGTTAATTTAAAATTATTATCAAAATTCAAAATTGTATTTCCAAATATTTATTATTTTTATCCACAGCCTTAGATAGAAATCTGTGTTTTTTTTATATTTTTTATTATTGAGGTTAATTTTCAAGGAGTATAGACAATTAGAATCAGTGTGACCTAATAAGCTTTCATATAATATATTTATTATTTGTTCTTTAAGTTGACTTTTTAACACGATTTAAGAAATATCTTAAATTGTGCTTTTGAAATATGGTCATAGATACCTATTATAATAACACTGAACTGTATAGAGTTCAGTGTATAATAATAATACCATAATCAGGGCTGTCCTAGGGGGGAAGGTGAGCAGGGCCCAGTCTTTTTACTTACATTTGGAGGCCTCCCTTTTGAAAAAAGTGGTAAAATAGGTTTTTTCCCTGGACCTTGAAAATCCTAAGGGTGGCCCCGACTATAATTATATAATAATATAATATTATATATTATTATACAATATATTCTTTACTTTAGACTTGAGATGGTAGGTACTGAGTAATCATGTGTACCTACTTTTTCATAGTTCATAGAATCTTTTTTTTTTTTTTTTTTTTTCTTTATTAATATTAAATACACAATCTGTACCTCAAGGGTACAACAAGAGTATTAGCTAAAATATAAACAAACAAAATAACATGAAAAGCTTGATAAAAGCAGCCACCCAGTGATGACACTTAAAAATTGAGGTTATAATTAGGTTTTCTCATAGACACACACTATGTTTATTGATTAATTTTTTTTTAGATTCTGAGCGGAGCGATGAATGTATTGGTTTTACAATGATGTATGTTTTTATATTTTTTTATTTTTTTTGTGTCTGTCATCACGTTTTAGGACAGTAAAAGTGCTTGGATTTTCTTCATCAGTAGCTTTTCTGATAGGAAAGTGAATCTAGTTGGTACTTTGGGGGGTCAAAAGTATAAATTTCCCAGTAGTTTTCACAAGCACCGGGAAAAACAACATAAAAATTAAGGAAAAACGAGAATTTTTACGCAAAATTGGTTTTCCAAAAAATCGATTTTGGTTATTGGTGTAACTCTAAAACAAATGAACGTATATACATGAAATTTTCACTGGTTGTTTATATTTGCATTTTCTATACACGATAACATTTTCAAAATATTTTGATTTATTTTGAACAGTTTAGGGACATTTTCATTTTCCATTTTTTTTAGTTTTTTTTCTAAAAATATCAATAAAATTTTATTTGTTGGTTGCAAAAGCTTGAAAATTTAATAGAAGGCTCCTAATATATTGTTTCAAAGACAGATGAAAAATATTAAAAATCCTTAGTCACAATTTTTTTTTATAAGCATTTAAAGTTCAAATATTGACAAAATATGGAAAAATCACGAAAATTAGCAAATTATTTTGAGTTAAGAATTCGTAAAAATTTTTCTTTTTAAATCTAAGATTTTAAAATGTAATACAAGATTCCTTATAAGATTATCTACCTTTATCAAATAAAAATGTCTATAAGAAAGTCAAATTAAATTTTTATGAGCGTTTGAAATTCAAATTTTTACAACATTGGATATTCACTCGATTACTCATGTAGCGTTTTCCTTATTTTGTTGCAATTCAAAAACGAACAACTGAAGATACATGAAAATTTCACTGAATGTTTAAATTAGCATTTTCTATACACCATACAATTTTGAAAATATTTTGACTCTTTTTGAGCTGTTTATGGACATTTACAGCTTTCAATTTTTTTTAGTTTTTTTTCTATAAATATCAATAAAGTTTTTTCTTTTGGGCCAAAAAGTGTAAAAATTTAATACAAGGCTCCTGATATATTGTTACAATATCAGTTGAAAAATATTAAAAATACATGGGCACGATTTTTTTTTATAAGCATTTAAAGTTGGAATTTTGACAAAATTTATCAAAATCTCGAAAATTATCAATCGTTGGAATTAAAAAATTATAAAATGTTCAGTTTTTATAGCTAAGGATTACAAATTCAACACAAAGGTTCTCATAAACAGTTCATACTACAACCAAAAAATCTAAAAAATATACGAACAAACTTATTTTTTACAGACATTTTAAATTCAAATTTGGACGAAATTACATATTAAAAAACCTAGAATGACTATTTTAGTTATTTTGTTGTGATTGAATAATATTATTCGTGGGTACTTGAAACATCTAAAGTGTACTATTATAATATATCTATGATAGTATCACGGTTTTTGTTGATGTATAACGCGTTATAAGTATCTAATGGATATTGTGATATGATTAATTTGGAATTTATTATAGGTACCTATTATAGGTCAATTTTTTGTTTAATACCATAGATATGTGTATAATATGTCTTATACATAGACTGACATACCGTCACCGCTCAGAATCGTTTTTCTTATACAATGATATTATATCATTGAATTTAAATTTAATACCATCCATTATACAGTGACCCACTTGTAACCTACTGTACAGCAGAGCGACACCCACTTGCCCACCTTTTTTTTTTTTAAATTTAAAATTATGATATTAAGTCAGCATATCTCTGCACCAGTTGCGTTTTAGTCACCTAGGAGGATTTCCCGGAATAACATTTGATGAGAGTGTTTTGACTAAAGGATTTGAGTGAGTTGCAAGCCTTTTATGAAATCTTTTATAATAAATAGCAGCTACTTCTTTAATAGTTTTAATTTTTAGGTCTGTGTGGAGAGTATGATTGGAAACATATGGGGGGGGGGTTTGTTAATTTTCTTAATGTTATGTTTTGAAAAGTCTGAATGCGATTTGTATTTGATTTTTTTGCGTTTCCCCACAGTTGGATACCGTAGGTCCAAATGGGTTTAATAAGGGATTTGTACATTAGTAGTTTTATATTAAGGTTGGTGTGTTTGTTATTGACTAGTAGAGATTTAAGCATACGAAGTCGGAGATTTAGTTGGAGTCTTTTAACACGTGTATGTTGTGCCCATGTTAGTCTACGGTCAAGGGTTAAGCCAAGATACTTGACTGTCGGAGTGGACGGAATTTGCGTACCAAAGAGAGTGACTGGTGGGCAGTGTCCTAGCTTAAGGGTAAAAGTAGTGTGATTAGATTTGGTTTGATTAATCTTAATCCTCCAATTCTTGTACCAGGTTTCCATAAGAGAAAGATGATTCTGTAGATTAAGCGACGCTACAAAGGGGTTTTCACTTGTAGATATGATGAGTTTGTCATCTGCATAGTCTGCCACAATGGTGTTGACGGATGTTGGTTGATCAGAAGCATATAAGTTATATAGTAATGGAGAAAGGATACCCCCTTGAGGCACACCAGCTCTGATGTTAGCAATGTTTGAGTATGCAGATTTAAAATGAACTTGAAAATAACGATCAGTTAAATAAGATTTAAGTAGCATGTAGTATGTTGGGGGCAAAAAGGACTTTACCTTGTACAGCAGCCCTTCATGCCATACACGGTCAAAGGCCTGTTGAATGTCAAGAAATACACAAGAACAATACATTTTTTTTTCAAGTGCGAAAGAAATCGAATCAACTAGCCTGTGTACTTGATGGATTGTAGAATGATGTGCGCGAAAACCGAATTGATAGTTAGGTAATAAATTTTTTTCACTAATTATGGGAAGTATGCGATTCAGTATTAGTCTTTCTAGCACTTTTCCGAAAAAAAGGTAATAGACTAATTGGTCTATATGACGTTACCAGGTCAGGGGGCTTGTTTGGTTTTGGGAAAAGTATGATTTTGGAGAACTTCCATAAAAGTGGGAAGTAAGACAATCTGAGTACGGCATTATATATATGAGTTAGAAATACGATTGCGCGTTTAGGAAGGCATCTGGCTACTTCAGCCGTTATTAGGTCAAAACCCGGAGACTTCCTAAGAGTGTGCTTTTGGATTGCAAATTTAATATCGCTCGGTGAAAAATGTTTAATTTGGGAAGATAGAGGTAAAGGCATATCAAGACCACTGAGAATTGTGTCAGAGTTGACAGGTAAAATATCTTGGTGAGGTTGAAAAACATTAAAGAGGTGATTTTTGAAAAGTTCTGCTTTCTCTGTGTCCGACACAGTGAAACTCCCATCAGATTTTTTAATAGGTGGAGTGGGTATTTTCAAATGTAAAGCTTGTTTGGACGCTTTCCAAAGGCTACCGTTATTTGTAGATAATTTTCTCAGGAAATTTTCGTAGTTAATATTTTTGATTTTTGCTAGGACTTTTTTAAGATGATTGCCTAAGTTATTGTATGTTTGTTTGTGGGAGGGTAAGCGAGTACGTTGATAGAGGGCTCTAGCTCTTCTCTTTTCTGATATTAGGATACGGATATTAATCGGCAGCGAATTAGAGTTGGTTTTATGTACATTTTTAGCTGTGTTGGCCGCCCAGGCTGCTGATTGAATAACATTCGTTAGGTTATTTACAGCTGCGTCTATGTCGTCATTGGATTTCAATCTGACATTTAGTTGAAGATTCTGGTTTACCAGGTCATGGAATTTGTAACGATCAGTAGTGGTGTGAAATAATTTTAATGGTTCAGTATTAATTGCAGGATAGTCGTTAAGTGTGAGAATAACCGACGAGTGATCAGAATTTAAGTCTAGAATATTGTCGATGACATAGTGCACATTTGAAGGGGTTTTTGTTATAAAAATATCTAATATGTCTGGATTTTTGTGTCGGGACAAAGGCCAATAGGTGGGTCCTGGAGGCGCAAGCACCTTGAATTTTCTTGTATTTACAAAATTTGAGAGAACATTTCCTCGTGGGTTGTTCACTCGACAGCCCCAACTCTGATGCTTCGCGTTATAATCCCCACCTATGATGAAGTTATTGTTT